CTCCAGAAGCAGCCGACTCTACGATGTAATAATATTAATGAAGCAGCATCAAAAGCGCAAGTGATTAGGACTTCCTTGTTTATTTTTGTTGTCTTGTTTAGAACACGTAGAGGAAAACGACGAGCACCAGCAGCTCGTAGCATTGGCTGAGTCTGGACTTAGGATCAAGCGAAGTATATACAGGGACGAAGATAGAAAGATTGGCCGACGCAAGGATGTTCGTGTCGTTCAGTCTCTCTCTATCTCTCTACGTCCGTGTTTTGGCGCGTTGTTTCAAGATTCATACCTACCAACTCGTCGACTTATCCAGCCTGTCCCGGGCCTGTTTTTTGCAGCCTGCGAAACCCCCCAAATCGGCAAGAAAAAGATTCCTAATTTTAAATTTGATTTGTCGGTATGTTCACGCTGCTCTTAGCCGTTAATATATACGAAAGGTGCCGGAGCCAAAGCCACACTTCATTTTCTATCTAAAAAAACAAAATTGGGGATGCTTTGGCCACATGTACAATTTTTTTTTGTAAGGTGCAGTAAGTATATTTAACCCGGCAAGGCTGAAGAAAGTTATGAATACACTTGCTTACAGCCATTGACTGTTTAAGAAAGGCAGGAAAGGCAAGTCTCAACCCTGTCCTTCAGTGGGTCCGGTGCTGGGGTAAAGCCGACAAGGTTTGACCAGAGCGTTCGAGCGGTCCCTGTCCGAGGTTACGAACGGGCGACGCACATTCCGAAGTGCGGGGGACGCGTCCCGCTCTCGTCCCCACTCCCATTAACATGTCGCCGACGACCAGGCGCGGGGAGAAACACAACAGATAACGAACCCACGGGGTACCCACTCCTTGGAATCCTCCGCGCCTGCTCGTGTCATCCCCAACATGTATATTTTCGCTTCTTCGTATTGTCCGCGCCTGCTCATGTGCTCAGTAAACCTCGCACCTACCCCTTAACTCTGCACATTCCAAGCGAGTAAAGAGAGGCATTGTGAGGTCATGCCTTAAGAACTCTATTACCAATTCATGCTTACATTCAGCGAAGGCGGGCTCAGACGGGCAAGTATCAAGGCTAAGGTCCGCTAGGTGTCCTCTTCCCGTATTGACGTCGGTAACAAAGCTTATCCTCGGAGAAATAAAGCTAGGTAGCGGCGCATAAATAGCCAGACAGGAAAACTATATTGGTGGTCGTGCCATATGCGCACAATCTATCCCATGATATAAAGAAGATAGCAAACAGAGCAAACGTGAATGTAGTCCTTCAGCAGCACACAAATTTCCCAGCCTCTGGAAAAACGTAATCACCTGTTCAATCAGCACAGTCTGCTGCACAAAGACGCACAGATCCAACTTCGTCACATCGCGATCAAAACGACCACCAGAGATATTTTATGGTCCATTGTCGCAGGTTCGGGTGGAAAAGATCCCATAAACAAACGAACTTGAAATTTGAATTATACCGCTATCCAGGTGCTAGGGCCACACCTTGGCGATGGACGTCCTGAGAGGCGGTAGGAATTGAGAGCGAGTCGTGCCTGGCTCTACGAACACTATTTAATAACAAAAAAATTCAGAAGTAAAGAGAGGATACATAGGGAGGACACATAGACGAAAAGAAAAATAAATTAGAACGTATGTTACGAGCGTTCCGCTCTTGCTAACCGCGACACGAAAAAAATGATAGAGGTTAACAAAACTCTGTAACGCGAAATTAGAGCGCAGCTCTCGAGGAGGAGCCGGGGAAGGTACGGAGGAGAAGGTATTCCCCTCCTCCTCTTTCGTATCCTCTTCTCCTCCCGTACTCTTCCCCTCCTCCTCAGCTCCTCGTCCCACCCTCCCTTCCTCATCCTTCTCCTCTCCTCTCGTCCTCCTTTCCACATTATCCTCCTGTCCCCCTCCTCCTCCTTGCATCCTTCTCCTCTCTCCTCAATCTCCTTTTCTCTCCACCTCCTCCGTACACCCGTGAGCGATATAAGGTGAACAGCACACTCCTTGTTTTTGACGCTCCTGCAAGTTTCGGAACAAGCTCTGTTCCAGAAGAGGGCTAGAACACAAAGTTTAGACCCCAAGCCACGTAATATTTTAGACGTTGAGAGTTAATATAGCTTTAGAGAGCCGTAAAACATGCTAGGAACCAGGTAAGGTGTTCACCGTCATATTGCTGGCGGGTGTACATTCCCCTCCTTCTGCTGCGTACCCTCCCCTCCTCCTCTTCCATACCCTTCCCTCCTTCCTCAGCTGCTCCGCTAAAATTAGCTGAAGAATTGATGCCAAGTGGCCTAAGCAGCAGTTCCATTCCCCGCTCAATTGAGCGGGAAATCGAATTGTAGTTGAGGTAACGTGACGTCAATTTTCTCGCTAAATCTAGCAGAGATATCGAATTTGTTCATAGGTGACGTGACACAAAGTCATATGACGGCATTTTCCCCGCTAAATTTAGCGGGGACTACTTCCATAAGTCCGTGCACGCAACACGGCGCGCGTTGCACTTTGGGTACTAGTTGGCCAGGGAGGAGTGTTGCATGGTTTCGGTTTCGATCGACACCTCGACAAGAGATAATACACGTAGCGTGGACTATAAACGGCCGTTATCTCATATTTTCTGGTCCCGAGTGCGTCATTTGTTTTCTCTAAACCAACCTAAATGGCCAGACCTCGAAGCTTTAGCACAAGCCCGAGACGTATAGCTTGTTTTAACGCATATACTTGTTGTATTTTTGTGCTTGAGCCTTGCTGTTATCGTTTCGAGGTACGTGGACGAGCCAGTGCTGGGAATCTCGACGCTGCGAAGCCAGAGGATCTTGCTTGTGTACGAATCAACATGCTGCAGCAAGCAATAAGTATGCATACATCGATGTGATGTTATAGGTTCAGGTCAAACCGCCGAAGGAGGAATTCAGTCACACCGTGAGGTTTGATCAAGATATATATATATATTTAAACAAAAAATTAACAAAAAAATGAGAAACGTTCTAGCTATACACAAATATACAGGTCAGAAATTGTCTCACTTTCAGTCCGTCCTTCAGTGGCTGAATGTCTTGGTGCTGTCTTGTTTCCAGCAGCGCTTGGTTGTTGGTGAGTGATGTTCCTTGATGATGGTCTGGGATGCTCTGCTCCGGGACACCGCCGAAGTCGTTCCCAGTGATGTTTCTTGGGTGTTCCTTGAGGCTGGTCTGGGATGTTCTGCTCCGGGACACCGCCGAAGTCGATAATCTTTCCCACCAGCGGCTACTTCGGATCGTTGCCGAATGCCTCGTTCATGTCGGATGTTGCCGCTTTGGTTGCACACCGCCAAGCTGATGTTTCACCCGACAGTAGCACCCTCGGGACGTTGCCGGGTGTGCTTCCACCTGGTCGGGTTACCGCCGAACAAGAACCCCTCTTCTTCCTCTTTTTCGCTCCCTTCTCTTCCGGCCTGCTCCCTCGACGTTTTCCTCTTCTACTCCATTTTTTTCTGTTGTAGCACGACATTTACCCCCTCCTCCAGAATTTAGTCGTACTAAATTTCTACACCACGTTGATGCATCATCCCCCTTTTCTTTTGTTTACGTCCCTGTGTTGATTCACCAGTTTGCGCATCACTTTCACACCCTGAACGTTTTATATCTGGTCCGCACCCAGTTCACAATTTCAGGTACACCAGCACATCAGCTGCATTTCACTGCCGCCGCTAAAGCACTTCTATCGGTTACTGTATCACGGTATACTTCCATCATGCGTATAAGTATTATCATATCTACAAAAAATTTTTTCCTCCCTACCCCTTTTTGTCGATCAAACTCTGCTCAAGTAGTCCGCCCCGATATTGTCTTTGCCTTTTATATACTTTATCCTAAATGTAAACTCTTGCAGAGATAAACTCCACCTCATTACCTTCGCGTTGTTGAGCTTCGTCTTATTCAAATATTCTAGCGGTTGATGGTCCGTCTCAACTGCGAATTCCTTTCCGTACAGGTATATAGCGTATTTACCAATTGCCCACACGAGTGCGAGGCATTCACGTTCTATAGCCGCGAAGTTCTTTTCGCTCGCGCTAAGTTTTCTACTGCCATATAACACTGGGTGCAGCATGCCCTCGTGCTCTTGCAACAACACTGCTCCCAAAGCTTCGTCTGATGCATCCGTACGCAGGACAAATTGCTTAGACACATCGGGCGCTAACAAAATGGGTGGTTCTGCCAGCCTTCTTTTAAGCTCTTTGAAGCTTGTGTCATGTTCAGAGCACCATTCTACTGTGTTACTTTGTCCCTTCCTTGTGAGGTTAGTAAGTGGGGCTGCTATCTCTGCATAACGGGGTATAAACTCTCTATAATACCCTGTAAGAATTAGAAAGGCTCACACCTGTTTTTTTGTCTTTGGCGCCGATGCTTGTTGAATCTTTTCTATTATTTCCCTCTTCGGTGCGATTTGGCCCATACCAAGCTTGTGACCTAAAAATGTTATCGCGTCAAACCCAACCTCACATTTGTTTGGCTTAACCGTGAGATGATTCCTCTTGAGACATTCAAAAATTTGCCGTAATATTTGGCAGTGGTCTTCCCACGAGTCAGTGGCCACCAAAATGTCGTCAATGTAATGATGTACATTGGGCACCCCCTCCAGGATGGACCTCATCAACTTGGTAAACACTGCAGCAGCCGTCTTCAGTCCGAAAGGCATAAACCGGAATTGGTAAAGGCCCGTTCTTGTAGAGAAGGCAGTCTTTTCTTTGGCTGATTCTTCCATCGGTATCTGCCAATACCCCTTTGCTAGATCCAATTTAGAAAAATATTTTTTTTTTTGCCCGACTCTTGCAAACACTACGTCCGACCTTGGTATAGGTTCAGCGTCAGCTACTAAGACTGCGTTCAATCGCCGAAAGTCCACACAAAGCCTATTAGAGCCATCAGGCTTTTTTACCATTATTATGGGTGCGTTGTAGGCGGACGTGGATCGTTCGATGATGCCTAATCTTAGAATCTCTTCCACTTCTTCTTCCACCTCGTCCTGGATGGCAAAAGGCAACGGATACTACCTTACAAACACCGGCTCTTCTGTCATCAATCGAAGTTTGCATTGCAATGCATTTGTTCTGCCCGGTACGTCAAAGAATATATCTTCAAACTCCCCGATCGCGTCAGCAAGATCTTCCTTTTGCTTTTGGCTTAATTTAGGATTGATGACCACATCCTGCGCACCCTGTTGCCTTTTTAGACTGGGCGTCGTGATCTCCCCTAAGTCTTCAACCTCATCCTGGACCACCATCACCCCACAACTTTCATTCTTAGTTTCGCGACCTACATATTTTTGTAACATGTTTATGTGAAACGTTTTTCTTTTGTCGCCAACCAGCAGTTCGTAGTTTAAATCGCCTTTTCGCCTCGCAACTTCGTACGGTCCCTTCCACTGCATGGTTAGTTTGTTGTGGTCACTGGGTAGCAGTATGAGCACTCTGTCGCCTGGCTCGAACCTTCGAGCCTGGCTCTTCCGGTCGTAGAACCTTTTCTGTTTTGTTTGCGCCTCTGCCATGATCTCATGCGCCACTTCACATATTTTCTTCAGTTTGTCCTTGAGTTCGATCACGTATCCGTATGATGTTTTTAACTCCTGGTTTAAGCTTTTATTGGACCACAGCTCCTTAAGGATGGTCAAAGGACCTCTCACATTTCGCCCGTACAACATCTCAAATGGTGCGAATCCTAGCGACGCTTGTGGTACTCCTCTATAGGCAAAGAGGAGTGCCGGGATATACCTATCCCAGTCCGTGGGTCGTTCTTGGCTCATTCGCTTCATCATTTGCTTGATGGTACCAATAAATCTCTCTACGAGCCCATTACACATTGGGTGATAGGCGTAGTTAACAACTGCCGAAAGGATAATAGCCGTCCTATCTATTTCATAAGATTGGAAGTGAAGTTCGTACCTCGATCACTCAGAATCTCCTTAGGTACTCCGTACCGGGAGAACATCTCGACTAGGGCTTCTACCACCTGCGGGGTATCAATGGTTTTCAATGCCACAGCGTCCGGGTACATCGTGGCTACATCAGCCATTGTCAAGATATATCGGTTTCCCTTGCTGGGCTTCGGGGTTATTGGTCCAATGATATCTATCGCTACCCGATGGAAGGGTTCTTCAATTATGGGCATACTAATCATTGGGGCTTTTTTCACGGTGCCTTTTGGTATAGTGCGTTGGCACACATCACAAGACCGTATGTAACGTTTCACGTCGCCTTGCATACCAGGCCAAAAGAATTCTTCCGCTACCCTAGCGACCGTGCTCTTTACCCCCTGATGGCCCGAAATTATTCCATCGTGAGCCAATTCCATTACAGTCTTTCTAAATACCGTTGGTACAATGAGTTGGTGTCTCACGTTCCCGTCGCTGAATTCGACTCGGCGGAACAACAAATCATCCTTCACGACGTATTCCGCTGTTACGTCACATCTCCATTTCCGCACTCGTTTATTCAGACTTCTAAAACAGCTCTGCAGAGTCTCATCCGACTTTTGCTGCCCCGTTAATTGAAGAGCTGTGACTTCTAGCAGCTCTATAACCGGCGCCTTGGGCTGGGGCAATTGTTTCTCTTCACTTTTGTCCGTTCTTTTTGCTCCTGCTGCAAATGACACCTCGTGATGAATCTGCTCTGCATTCAACGCCTCCTTTTCCCCGATTTCTTGCAGTAGTCGGTCGTTCTCAGCGTGTGATGTAACGCCGTTCAATGAATTAGACGGCGTTTCGCCAAACACTTCATCTCCCTGGTGACGCATTTTCTTCGTACTTGTGCCCCACCCTGAATCCGGGCAGTCCACTTTTCTAGCCCCTGGGATGTTACCCAGTATGAGGTCATACAGCGGTTCTTCTACGCATTTGGCACGTACTTCCCCCGTGTAATAAGGTGTATCTATGTTGATTATCGCTTCAGGCAAATCCCTCATGGTGCCGTCAACCAGGATAACCCCAGTGGACGTCCCTGTGAACTCCTCACTTCGTACCAGCCTTTTTCTTACTAGTACTGTGTTGGTTCCACTATCCCTCAGCACTGATATCTTAATATCATGTAACCTCTCTTCGACCACCGGCATCATTATGTCGATATTGTGTACTAAGTCAGCATCAGTAACCTGTTCAAATCTTGTATTTGTTATCGCTCCCTGCTGTTCTTTGTTGCCCCTCTTTAATGCCTTCTGTCTTTTATCCAGGACACTCGCTGCTTTGTTCTGTGAGTGATTGGCGCACTGCCCAGCTTTGTGTCCCATTTTGCCGCACTCCCAGCATCGTACTCCTGCCTGATTTTGTCTATATCCGCTTCTGCAGTCAGTTGCCTTATGCCCAACCTTAGTGCACAGAAAGCATCTAGGCGATGGTCTTCGGGTTCCTCCCGTTTGTCCAGTACCCTTACTGTTCTCGCCGTCTGGTCTCACTGTTGTACAACCCCCATCTTTCATAGCACCCAGACTGCATTTTCCCTGGGCTTCCGGGTACTGGTCAGCTAGCTCTGCCATTTCTTGCGCTGCGTTCACGTTACGTTCTTTTAGAAAAATGGCCAGCTTAGGGTGACAGCAACTAAGGAACTGTTCGGCAATCACCCTGTCCCTCACTGCCTCGAACGTCTTCTCTGTCTGCGCCATTTCGAGCCACCTATTAAAATAATTACTCAATCCGGTACAGAATTGTCGTCCAGTTTCTGCCTCCTCCGGCTTGCTTCGTCTGAACTTTTCTCTAAAACCGTCTGCAGTTAGTCTGAATCGTTGGAGCAAGGTGATCTTAACCTTCTCATAGTCTAGGGAGTCAGCTGCAGTCATCCTCCCGAATGCGGTTAAAGCTTCACCCACCAGGCAAAGACTAAGGGACGTCGCCCATTCCTCCTTCGCTCATCCTTGTCCTACCGCAATCCTCTCAAATCTATGCAGGTAGGCATCTAAGTCATCGCGTTTCTCGTCAAAGGGCGGCATCAATTTCTTCAAGCACGCTCGTCCTCTTGACTGACCTTCGCTCCCTCCGTCTGTTATCGCTCCACCGGCGCGTTCTGTTTCCGCGAGCTTGATCTTAAGCTCTATCATAGCGATATCATGTGCCGCTTTCAGTCTGGCGTCCTCCCTCTCCCTCTCAGCCTTCTGCTGTTCCCTCTCATGTTCGAGTTTGGAATCTTTTCTAGCGTGCACTCTCTCCTCTCTCTCACGATTTCTTTCCTCCTCCAGAAGATGCAACGCTTCCTCTTTTGTTAGTCCGAAGGAGCTTCCCAAAGCCATAATCTTTTCAAAATCCATTTCAAACTTGTTGGGAACTGTTCACCGGTACAACTGGTTTTCCTCACTCTGCGGTTTGTATCCTGGCAGGCTCGCCAAATTGTGATGTTATAGGTTCAGGTCAAACCGCCGAAGGAGGAATTCAGTCACACCGTGAGGTTTGATCAAGATATATATATATATATTAAAAAAAATTAACAAAAAAATAAGAAACGTTCTAGCTATACACAAATATACAGGTCAGAAATTGTCTCCCTTTCAGTCCGTCCTTGTGTGGCTGAAGGTCTTGGTGCTGTCTTGTTTTCAGGAGCGCTTGGTTGTTGGTGAGTGATGTTCCTTGATGATGGTCTGGGATGCTCTGCTCCGGGACACCGCCGAAGTCGTTCCCAGTGATGTTTCTTGGGTGTTCCTTGAGGCTGGTCTGGGATGTTCTGCTCCGGGACACCGCCGAAGTCGATAATCTTTCTCACCAGCGGCTACTTCGGATCGCTGCCGAATGCTTCGTTCATGTCGGATGTTGCCGCTTTGGTTGCACACCGCCAAGCTGATGTTTCACCCGACAGTAGCACCCTCGGGACGTTGCCGGGCGTGCTTCCACCTGGTCGGGTTACCGACGAACAAGAACCCCTCTTCTTCCTCTTTTTCGCTCCCTTCTCCTCCGGCCTGCTCCCTCGACGTTTTCCTCTTCTACTCCATTTTTTTCTGTTGTAGCACGACAATCGAGCTCGCGCCTTTACATTAGTGCTGTTGATCAGGAGGTATGTTTGTTTCGTGCGTCCATGGATGAAATATAACTTTTTGCAATTACTGTTTTTTTTTAATACGCCTGAGTACGCGAGCTAAAACTCGGAGTCGCCATTGGAAAGCTGCATTGGAACACACTTCTCGTGTCTTATCTGCACTGCTCCGCAGCACTGCACGAAGCGAAGTCCCCACCCGCTTGCATTCCACTAATATTCAACATCGCTTATGCGCATAAAGTTATCCTGCAGTCATATAGGCACATTCGCACATACAAACAGTTTTAAGAAAGCAAAAGTCGAGCACTTGTGTGAAAAATGTCGCACCGTTCTCAGGAAGTGCGCCGGACGGGCATGAACCCCTGTGTTGTGCGCCAAGCGAACGAAATTATTCAATGCACAATTGACGGTTGCTAATGGCCATAATATTTCTAATGGGTTTGCTTTCTTCCTGACTGAGTATGCCGAGATAATTTCAGACACACCGTTCAGGCACAGATCTTAGCGTCAGTAAAAGTTCGTCCAAAAAGGCTTAGCGAGGAGTAGGGGACGCTTGTTAGGGCCTCCGTTGTAGCTAGCCGATCTCACCGTTTGCGATAACTTAATCTTCTATCGGGAAAAAAATTGAGAGTGAGATATGTGATGACGCGTGGAAGACATCACAGTAATTTTTATGGAGTAGTGAGGTCGAATTTATTGCGTTTTCTTAGAAGTTCATGCGTCAACGCTAAGCTCAACTTCAAGACTCCTTTGAGGATGCGGCTTGCTTTTCGCCCAATGAAGTAACAAGAAGCGGACGTTTGGCAAACAAAATACGTGTAGGACTCAAGATGACCAAATTTCAGTTGTAGTTCACTGGTACTAGACGGGATTACTATCATTGAGCTCAAAGATGCACTCGTGGGGTGAGGTCACTAAGCCACGTCTTACTACTTTTGCATACGCACGCAAAATATCCTGTGTTTCGGGAACCAAGGAAAGTGACCCAGTCTTCGTTTTGTATCGCTCGAGAATGAATGTATTGTACATTCGTAAAAAGTCAGGTAATCGAAAACATAAGCGGCGCGTTGGGTCGCGGCGTGATAGCATGAGATGAAGCTGCTCAATCGAAACCAAAACCGAGTGGCCAACTAGTTCCCAGAGTGCGCTGCGTGGTATTTCGCCGCGATGGGGCACGTCGGTTTTGGAAGAAGACTATTGGTGTTGAAGTCAAACGACATCAGTTTTCCCGCTAAACTTAGTGCGGTTACGCCGACGCCGACGGCAACGTCGAGGCCACTCAACCCGGAAAAGGGCGCCTAAGAGCTGCGCTTTAAAGCACAAAAGCTACGATAGCGTAACGGAAGGAACAGAAGCCAAATCACAAGCACCATACAGTTCGGAGGAGGAGGGGAGTCTAGTCAGGGTCCCAAGAATTCGGTGGTGGTCTGGTCCCTTGCGCCGCCAGCTTGGGTGTTTACAGTGCTGAACAGCGCTCACTAACAAGCACACGCACATAGTCGAAGACTTGCTCGGAGCCCACCAACCATACCGACGAAGCCTTGCTCGGGGTTCGCCCACCGACATCGCCGCAGCCTTACCCGGTGTTCCATCATCCAGACCACCGAAGCTTTGCTTCGCGTTCTACCAAACACCTCCTCCATTGAAGCCTAGCTCCGCGTTTCGCCAAAAGCCACACCGCGCGCCGCTTCCTCCATCTTTTTTTTTTTCGTTTTCTTCCTTTCCTTCGAGCTTGTGTTTTCGGCGCTCACGCATCTTACTCAAAATGAAAACCAACAACAACAAAAAGGACAAAAATTGTTGAATTCTTTGTCTGCATCAAACATTCTTGATGGCCCATCAGACCTTCTTGATGGCCCGTCAGGCCTTCCTGATGGCCCATCACAACTTATTGACAGGCTATTACACCTTCTTGACAGCCTATCACACCTTCCTGATGGACCCTCACATCTTTTTGATAATTCAACTAACCTTTTTGATGGACCATCAGAGTTCATTGGTGGTGTCTGATCTTCAAGCATTTTCTGCTGGTGTCTCATGGACCATTAAAAGCTTCTGTTTGTAGCTCACGACCGTCGAAACGCTTTTCGTGGTGTTTAACGGACCATTGAAACGTTTTGATGTTGACCGTGTGAGACCAGCAGGATGTCTCGATAGACCATCAGAACGTCAAAAAAGGCTGATGGTGCTTCTCATGTCATCTTTCGATGGTGGAGAGATCCTGAATATCTTCGGGAGGTTCCAGCAGTGGCCGAGAGGAGGCGCAAAGGATTTCACGTCGTCGCGCTTGCGTGAATTACAATCGGTGTAGAAAGCTGACAATCCGCAATAATCCGCCTTCACAATTGTTCTAGGATACTCCAAAGTTCACAGACACCTCCTTATAGACTCAGGTATGTTTTCGCCAGCCTAGTTTTTTTCTTTTAAATCGTGTTATAGTCCATTGGTGAAACAATTTGTTGATCCGCTGTGTATGTTAAGTTGATCATGCTTACGATCTAAGCGGAAGATAATGTGTCGAGAAACGCAGTTTGCTTGCTAGGCGGACGTGCACTGTGAACTAATTTTTTTGCAAGAAAATGTTCACAAATCGGCCAATTTGGTATTACTAAGCTTACTGAATTCGAGCCGATCAGGTTTGCATATTACACGCTGTCGCACAACGACGTCATGCCCAGCATGGACGATGTGGAAAGTGGTTAGAAAGCCACGCAGCGGACACCGATGAAGTTGCACGTTTTGGAGTCTCAAAAGCAGCGAGGATATTTAGAACTTTTTCCGTTTTGGTTTTGGACTTTAGTAATTTAACGTTCAATCATTTCTAAATAAAAATAATTCATGCGTTATCCAAAATACAAACTTTTGCTTTCAGGTTTTCAAGGAAGTTTGTGAAATACCCTAACGCTACTGGTGTTCCTTATTTAAAATAGTAATAAGCGCAAAATAAAGTTTACATTTGTCTGTAATGCAATCCTTGTCTCCTCCCAGTGCATATCTCTGATTAGAAATTTATACCAACCATTAGACCAGCAGACCGTCAAACCATTACGCCGCCAGATGTTCCAAATTACGACAGATCATCAGACCATCAAACCATCAAACCATTACTGTCCCGAAATACGACAGGCCATCAGGCCATCGAACTATCACACCATCAAGCCAGCATTTCATTTAATTTCATTTATTTTTGCTCAAAGACATTCTTTCGGACGTATTACACGAGCGAGGATTTGAAGCAAAAAATCATACAAAAGCACAATGCATACAAAACTTTGGGTTAAAAAACGATCATACAAGAAATAACAAGATCAGAGGGGCCCTTGATTGACTCAAGTCATTTATACAATGCCAAGCACATTCAAACCGATAACAAATTATCATCTTGAAAACTAATTCATCAATAAATCGTCACATTTCTTTGTAAACAACAACTCGCCACGTTCAGTTGCCAAAGAGTCTGGGAGCCCGTTCCAATCTGAAATACACAAAACTAACGGAGATGAGAAGAATAGATTGGGGAACAATCACACCATCAAACCATCACGCCATCGAAACATCAGACCATCACTGTCCCAAAATACGACTCCGTCAGACCATCATTCCCTCATCCTAATGGCAGTCGTGGCGAGGCCGAAACAATAGCAGGTTGCCTCTAAACAAAATGGAAAAAAGCGAATTGGAAAGAAGTGGAAAAAAAAGTTTTAAGTTTTTAGTTGCTGTGCAATAGTCACGTACCAGTCCAATCTCCTTAATACACTACAAAATATATCTTAAAAATGTTGAATTTTCTTAAAAAAAATTAAATCCTATAATGTGAATGGATAAATCGATTTAAAATCGAAAGGTAGCGAGCTGAAAATGTTTGCCCCCTTCTCGGACAAACTTGATTCACATTACCCGATGGTCCTACCCATAAAACTGTATGTACTAAAAAAAAAAGAAAAACAATAGCGGAATACAATAAATGTAAGTATATTTTTTGAAGTAAACATTTGACAGAGATCTGTCCGGTTGGGAGTAATTAATATTAAAAAATTCGAACACCAACCAAGCCCTTCTGTAGGGACCCAACCAAGCCCTTCTGTAGGGATATTTTTTATTTTCTTTTATTTTTAATATTAAGTATATTTTTGTTTTATGTGTCCGTCAAAAGTTGCCTCTTAGGAGTGCAGTATTTAGAAATTTTAATTTTCAACGACCTTATACCGCTTGTTGAAAAACCCTGGTGGGATAACAACTTTAAAAATTCTCAGAGTAGGAAGAAAGCATTTGAACAGACTAAAAAGGAACTCCACATTATTCCTAATGAGTACGAGTTCCATGATTCACTAATATTTTACATAGAAGCCAAACACTACACAAGATCATAACGCGATGCGATATTGTTAGAGTACATTTTAATATTCCCTTTTTTTATTTAGTAAAAATATTCCCTCTTTTCTAAGCGATATTGTACGTTCTGTTAGAGTTCCGGTGAAGCGCCGAAGTATGTAGCGCTTATCGACAACTCGTTTAACGGGACGCAGAAGGCCGTCTTCTGGGCGTGAGGGCGATTTCCAAGCCCTGCGTCGCTCGGAGAACCACCTCGATGGAGAGCTGAAGTTCTGTCATGGGGACCTTGGACTTGATCTCAAAACGCCGCATTATGTGGATTAAGAGAATCTTGTCCTCAAGGTTGGCGAACCTTTGCCCTGAATGTAAGAACATGTGATGAACAGTTTTCCTTCAAAATTACTATTAGTTGTCTGGCTCTTGGGAGGGATCGTGAAATCTTTTATTGTATTTACCCGGATTCTATTTAGGTGCTAGATCAATTATTTTTACGTGATTTAGGTATTTTGGGGCAGTGCCTTGCCATTTAAATACATATAGAGTGCGTTTACGGTCTCACTTTGATTAAGAACTTGATATTATCCCTAGGAAGGTTTGGTTTTGTATAGACTTAAATTTAAAAAAAAGAAAGCATGTACTGTTCGTTACAATTTGGGCATGCGGATAAAAAGGTACTCCTAAAACACTCCAATCAAAGCAACTACAAAAAAAACTAAAAACCTTACACACTCAGGTTATATTAGAATATACGGAGATTAGCAAGTATTTACCTAAACAGTTTCTCGCTCCTCCCGAGAACGGAACGTAAGCAAAAGGGTTCGTTCTTTCTTTAGAAGCCGAGAATCGCTCTGGAATAAAGCTGTGCGGGTCAGGGAAGAATCTCGGATGACGCTGCATGAAGTAGATGGCTGCGATTGCCACCGTTCCTTTGGGTATGGTGTATTCACCTTGAAATAGACAGAACAGTGCACATGATTGATCCACAGTCTTGTAAATAAATTTGCGTAGTAAGAAGTAACCCATCTCGTCTTTTTGAAAACGTTCGCTGGTCCCAATTCGTTTGTTGCATCTGATAACTTTCTAAGGTATATATTAAAGTGGTGCTTGGGTTCTTACCAACTTTGACATCTTCGTCAATGTTCCGAGCGATTAGAGGAACCGGAGGATAGAGTCGCATCGACTCCTGGAACAACAAAACAATAAAGACATGCATTGGCAGGTCAAAGTATATTGCATAAACTCTCATGCAAAAGTCGAAGGAGATTGAAGGTCTTGGTTTTTGTGTAACTTGGAAGCCCAGTCAACGAGGGACAAACTTCGCAAACAAATGAACTAGATAAGGTGTTTGTATTGTTCACACTTCATTTCCCTAAGGTCGAATCCCGCATGAGAACTGACAGAATGGAACTATAAAAAATATGCTTTCAAGAATAAAATAGGTCACGCAGTTATAGTGCTCCAATGACTTCGAGTGGTTTTTCATTTACTGTTTGTTTCTGTAATGAATATGAATTATTGCATGATTATTCTTCAGTGCATGATATATCTTATTGACAACGTCAAATATCACAATAAAAATGTACTGTCGGGAGTAAAATTGAGGAGAACACTGGAGCGACGACCGAATTGCATCAGCGCGCTCTCTGACGGCTCGCCGCCTGCTGCCTAGACCCGCGCAGTGCGCCCGCGTGTCCGTTCTTATCTGCTGCTTTATAGTCCTTTGCTCACTTCAACTCGACGCCCTGTGGTCTGATTGAAACGGTGATAGTCGCTGCTTCAGCAGCCATGATTCATTCCACAATTTTCGCCCATCGCTCTGGATAGTGGCTCGCGGCGCGGGCAGTTAACGCGACTCTCGCGCACGACTATCTGTAACAGAACTATCTGACTTCCACAACCAGTTTAGTTATGCCACCACTGTCTATGGATCGTGGGACCTGTTGTCTTCTTGCACGTGGGCCGCCCGTCCCGTGCTCTCCTCTAGCAGACTTGCAGCGGGGCGCTCGCGTGTACCGAATGCACGCCGGCGGTGGCCGGATAACGAAAACTGGCTGCTGAGATCGTCTATTACGGATGGGAAGCTTTGAAAATAACGCGACAAAGGAAACAATTGTTTTTAATGCGTTGCCTTGTCGCGCGAGAGTGTCGCTTCAACTGACTGTCCCGTACGGCACGCGAGTTCGGTCACTCAGGCCACTGTCCAGAACGATGAGTGAACATTGTGGAATCACGGCTGCCAGAGCGGCGTCTATCGCCGTTGCAATACGACCTAAGCGAGTCGCGTTGATGGGAGCAAACGTTTGCACTGCGTTGGTCTCAACAGCAGGCTGCGCGCCGTCAGGGAGCCCCGCGATGCAGTTCGGTCCGCACTCCGGTGTTGCCCAAACGTTTTGCTCCCTTCAGTACAGTATTCACTATCCTGTGAAAATTCCGTCTTCTTTGTGCACGATCAGCTGCATAAATAAATACAAAAATTGTAATTATAGCGTAAAAAAAGATGAAAGCCGTTTACAATTCCCTGTAACTCCGAATTAGAGCGCAGCTCTTGATGAGGAGGAGGAGGGAAGGGTACTGAGGGGGGTCATGTGACCTCGGGGCGTCACGTGACCTAGGGGGTCACGTGACCTCGTGGGCGTCGCCGGGTTGCATGCAACCCGGCGACTCCGGCGGGATGCATGCAATGCGGGCTGCATGCAACGTGGACTAAATGCAGTTTTGGTTGCATGCAACGCGTGGTTACACCGGCGCTTGCGGGTTGCATGCAACTTGTGTTGCATGCAACGCACGGTTACGCCGACGGCGACGGCAACGTTGCTCAAGCGGCAAATGGGCGCCTAAGAGCTGCGCTCTAAAAACAAAACAAGAAAACTTTGCCTCGTTTCAGGGATAAAAAAAATAAAGAGAAGTATCTAGCTTTTGTTATTCACTGATGCCAAAAAATCAACGTCTTGTGATTTTCGGGGATGTCAGGTTTTTGTTTTTAAAAAGCTGAGAGGGTGCCTATCAATATACTGTGTTATATGATGAGAATACACTTTATACTTCGTTTCAGCTTGGTCCGAGGGCGGCCAATGTTATGAGACGAAGGGCCAATCAAACAGCGAGAGGCACAACGTCACGGCGTGCTTTCTGCAGTTGATAGGACCAGCTGGTATTCGCCGTCTCTCTGTGTGTGCTCCTCCGCCGGCTAGTCCAATCAAGCGCAGAGAGCACGCGATGACGCTGCGCTTTTGTGCGGTTTGATTGGCCCTTTGGCTCATAACATCGGTCGCGCTCGGACCGGAGCTGAAACAAAGTATAGCAGCTGAAACGTAATTTAAGGAACTGGAGACGTATGGTGCAAAATATTGGGAACAAGTACGAAACTGTGAAACCAAGAAAATATGCACTGCGGCACTTAATAGGCAAAGCCGAAGGAAATAAATATGCCTGATTAGCGACTAATTATGTTTTCCTGTAATGATATTCATGAGCCACGTCCTTTGCCGGTAGAGTGCCACAATAATATAAAAATAAAAAAGCACCGCAAAAAAAAAATAGAGACGGTCGCGTAGAAAAACATAAATATCAGGAAGTCTCAAACTTCTGAGCGTCTTATTTAAACCTTTCCAGGAAAAGCGAAATATCTAGTCGTGTTAACGCTGGACTTCATGGACTTCATAAAGTGAATTGTGCAGCGAAGACCGACGAACTTTGCCCGTTGCCACGTGCAACTAGAGCGCGGCGCAACAGCCGCAGTCCTCACTCCGTGCACAGAGCGAACGCGGTCAAGCGAAAGCCAACACTTCTTCGCAGCATATTCCCTTTATGGAGTCCAGAATTTATTCATCCAAGCGCCCATGTAAGTGATAACGTAAAATAAGCGACAGAATCGTCATCCTGCTTTCAGCATCTGTTATACAAGGTGAGGCCGTAGGCAACAACACATTTGGCACGTCGTGCAAAATTTAAAAAAAAGCTAATCGTACATCTCTCAAACTAGGCACGCGAAGGCCGTTTCGCAAAATGTTTTATGTCAATTTTTATTTCTCAACTCAAGGTTGCGAACCAATAAAGATAGTGCAAAAACGGCGGCAGTGAATTTTCTTCGTCCTGTACCGCATGTTTGTCGTCTGCACACCTTTTTGGACGCTTGCTCCCAGGTGGTCATCGTTTATATATTTCGGAAACAATATTACTTATCGCGATCATCGTGCTCGTCACCAGCCTCTAATATGGCGTGCTCGGCGCTTTTGCACTGCTCAAGCCACCCTGGAGCGGGCTCGCAAACCAGTGAGCAGACGAGAAACAAGATGGCCTAGCAAATACAAACTGTACGGCCACCGTTCTCTCTTTTTGTGGAGCTCCGGACTTAAAGCGAAGATAAAGGTTTTCTCTCTCTCTCTCTTTGTTTTTTAATATTTCGCTACCTCTGAGTAGGGTACGTTGTAAGACATTTGACATGAAACATATTGCAAAACGACGGTCGCGTTCCGAGTTTCAAGTACACACGTTTAGCATACGAATTTGGCAACGCGTGCCAAATGTGCTGAGAATTACGGCTGTACCCTGAGCTACACCACGCCTTAGAACCAAGTTCGCAAGCATGCATACATCTCTAAGAATTGTGTAATAAAAATATGATTTTAAAGATATCAAACAAACTGTGTAAAGGTAAACTTTTTTTTTTTTTTTTACGATTGCATACGTTTGGGATGTTTTGTCGGTGGATGGGAGTGACCTTGACCATTGTGTAGAGGGCGTGGTCCTTCGTTTACGGTGGACCCTTTCACCATATTTTGTAGTCGTGTGTAAATTGCAGCCAACCATTGGGCCGTGACCAAGTGGAGGGCGGAGTGGAGAGGACGGGTATAAAAGGAGTGTCCTGAAGAAAAATTTAGTAGCTGTGTTTGAGATGCCGTGTTTGTCCCCTTCTTGTCGTCTCGGCCTTGGGTTTTAGAAATGTTCCAGAAAAAAAAAGAGTTCAAGAATTGCAGCGAGTGGAATGTTTCTAGCATCTCATTACCGCTCCGCGGCCAATGAGATTGCTGGATTGGTTGATTGGAACTCCACGACAAACCACGAATTGAACACGGGAACAAAACGAGCCATTCACGACATCTCGTAGGCTGTCAGTGCATATCAAAATGTTATTGTCATGATCACATTATATTAAAGTTAAAAATCCTCTGCAAGTGAACGTAGGTTTAATTCAGAACACCATACCTTAGCGACACAGTCCAGATACTTGAGGTGCTTCAAATCATCAACCGTAACCGGCCTTTCCCAGTCGTCACCGAAGATAAAATCAAGTTCTTCATGAAGCTTTGCTTGCACTTCGGGATGATGCCCCAGGAGATAAAGAGTGTAGGAAATAGATGTTGCGGTTGTATCGAATCCCTGTTTGGTTAGAAGAAACACCATTAGATAGAGGTTCATATAGATTGTTAAAGAAAAGACAAAAGGGTCAGCTACTGTAAAGGCCTGTTCACACATACAGCGGAGCGCTAAGTTAGCGCTACGTGAGCGCTCCAAGGAGCGCTCATGTGCCGCTTCCTGGCGCGCGACTTAGTTCTAACACAGCGCGCGATTAGCGCTTCTGTAGCACTTTGTTAGCGCTCCAGTAGCGCCTTGTTAGCGCTCCAGTAGCGCCTTGTTAGCGCTTCAGTAGCGCCCTGTTAGCGCGTCACTGGCGCTTCTTGTACCGCGGTGCTGCGGATTAGCGCGTGCACTGCGGTTCCGGTTCCTGTGCTTGGGTGTGAATCAGCAGCACCATGGCGGACATGTGAAATGCTGAAATAGAAATGCGACCAATGCTCTTACAAACGCGATTAGTGCATGTGTGTGTGGACGGCTTAACGCCCAGAAGAGCCTTCTGGGTGCGCGACATCTTTCGCCACCGAGATACCGACAGGTATACCTAGTGAACCTTGTTCCTAGGCTGAGGGACCGAGACACAGAGCTTTTTCGAAGGCGATTATTTTTACCTGCATGTCTTTGAAACCAGGGTCACGCATATCGAATAGAAAGCGATGAGGTCGTACCCAATCAATTAGTCGCTCAAAGTCCATGACTCTGGGTCGCCTGCCCGACCCTTTGCTTGGAGAGCGGCTGTTTTACTTCCTCTTCTTTCAATGCCAAAGGAAAAACAACAACAAAGGAATCGCCGTGCACGCGCTGTTCCGCAGCAGCAAGCACGGCACAAGGAGCGTGCAGAGCGCTTACAGAGCGCCTCTGTAGCGCTAACAGAGCGCTAACAAAGCCCTTCTGTAGCGCTAACAGAGCGCTAACAAAGCGCTTCTGAAGCGCTAACCGAGCGCTACATCACGCCCTAGGAAGCGCCACATGAGCGCTCCTTGGAGCGCTCACGTAGCGCTAACTAAGCGCTCCGCTGCATGTGTGAACCGGCCTTAATTGTTTTGTAGTTTTCAGATGGTGGTGTAACTCAAATCATTGGAAATGTCGGCTGCTTTAAAAGTACGCAATTTATATGTACACAACGAGTCGTTTTATCTTGGAGCTGTCCTTACGTAAGCAAAGTCGCCCATGTTTTCACCATCGTGGTAAAGACAGGGGTAAAACAGAGTTTGATGCAGTGGCGAGCGGGATTCGATCGCAGCGCCGCCGTTTCTGCCACAGGAACGGAGATGATGGATGAGTCGCGCCTTGCTGCGGCTTCATGGTGAAGGTACCGCATCAGAGAAGTACCAGTGAAGAGCATCAATGAAGTACCAATAAAGAATGGAAGCACCAATAAAGTAAAAAAGAAAAGAGCGCGCGCGCTTGGTAGGGCAGTTGAAAACGCGGAGCTCGTTCGGTGTAGCATCGGCTAGGAGCCGAACGACTCTTTATGTCTGGTTACTTAGGACCCGCGAGATTAACTCGGGTAAACTCCAGCAAGATTTAGACAGTAGCCAATGTAACGTAAAAAAATGGCGGTGGGTGGAAATGCATTTTAAGTGGTAGTGCAAAGATTTTAACGTTTAATGAACTTCCCGGTTGTATTTTTATACTCTTTTATTTTGAATCAAGTGAGAAAAAAATGTACCACATTCTCTTTAAATATTGCGATTCCGCTGCGAAATCGCAAAATAAAAAATAAATTATTTGCCAATATCAAGTCACATGAGGCGGCTATAAATGCATCGTCTACGCTGGTTAAAAAAAATTACAATCCATCCCAGAAATTATAATTTCTTCTGGAGGTGTTCAGTCTACGTATCATCGCTCACCTATCACGTACGTAAGGTCAGAATTCCACAGTGTCGCAAAAATACCTACTTTAAATTATTTATACCTTGAACGTCTACTAACTAAAATCATCTTCGTATACCCATGGGTATATTTCTTATTTATCTTTTTTTTTAGAAATACTGTAACACGATTACAAGGACTGCTTGCATGAATTCCTTGTTTTGCTTTCCATTTTGTTTGTAATTCCACCCACCTCTATAATGACTGTGGGTCCAAGGGAGGGCTCAAAATGAACAAAACATTTTATGAAAATCAACACCATGTTTTTTTTTCTTAAACAAGAAACGGGAAAAAATGCAAAAACAAATAAAACCGAGGCTAAATTTATACTAATTATTATCAATCTTATCCAGAACATTTCTACGAAATACGGAAACATTCGCATACATGTCACTACGTTATAACGAAAAAATAATCATATCGCACGGCATTTTACCGACATTGCAGATGGATGATTAAACATACTATACCGCATTAGATTCGTTAGTCAATAAAAAGAAGAAAAAAAAACGGTGCGGTGACGGAGCAAGAGAGAAAATGGAAGAAACACTGGCGCTTGTTGTTGTCTGCTGCCTCTATTTGTCGTCAGACTATTTACACTGCCCTAAAAGTATACACCAAATGAGCATCGTTCTGCATTTCCGTATGAATTGTGTAGCAGTATGGATATAAATGTTAAAATATATCAAATTAAGTTTTGAAACTTTAAAACAGAGAACAGATAACTTTGTGCTCTCTCAGAATTTGTCTACTGTGCGCTTGCAAGTGAAGAAGTCAATTTGTTGTTATCTGTCACATATTTCCTGGGTAATACATTGTCACGTCCTTAGTCACCGAAAACCATGAGACTTGTTTAACACTCAAATGAGCCCCCGCCAATGCCCCACCATATGTAACTATTTTTGTGAAATATAACATCATAATTGATTAACGGCGGCTGCAAGTTCACCGTTACTGTAATTCCAAGTCAGTAGTATAATGGAGAGTGTACTGCAATTCCCGGATGCGCAGTCGAAAATCTGCTGAATTGAGAAACCTCTCGTGAACATTGACGAATAATGCAAGGGAACAGTACCCGCAACAACTGGCGAAAAACTCTTGGGGTTGTTGATCTATGTCTGTATATATTTCAAAATATCGCGAGCTTACTCTTGCTAAAACAAATTTTCAAATTATACCAATCTTTTGGGTAAAAAACTTTATTATTTTCATGGTTTTCTTTCTGTCCTTCAAAATTTTCGAACATTTTGCTACCTAGTCCTGAAGGCAAACAATAATAAATAAAATAAGTATGAACTGTAGTGCTGAGTCATTGGGAGTTCACGGAAGTCAAGATAACTATTTCTCCTCCACTGTTACGATCGTCGACAGTCGCGTGACGAGCCGCCTTTTATCTTCATCGTTCGCCACGACCTTGGGCAATGCTAATCCTTAGAAAGTCGACCATCACTTGGGACCCTCAAAGACGGAAATCACAAAGAAACCAGGTGGTACGCCCAATGACGCAACTCGAAAGGCGGTGTAAAAGTCGAGTGGTACTCCGACGTTCCATCTGTGTAATTTTTTTATCTTCAATTTAAAACTAACCCGCGCAAGAAAAAATGTTTTATGTGGTAACTTCTATAGGTGACACAAATTAATTTTCGCATTTAATTGGTCAAAGTCGAAAACTTGTTTCACCACCCACTCAACAAAAATCAGTGTCTTTTGTATAGGGCTCCTCCCGGATGCTGCGCAGGACTCGGATATGGTAACAGTTGTACGGTAGCGTTGGATGAGACTCGCGTATAATCAATGAGCCCGCGAACGCTACACCAACATTCGGCTGGACACTAGTTTTCGTCCAGTAAAGGCAGGAATTCTCGCCGGACGCTGAAGAAGACTTTTTATGGCGGTCTTGCGTTAAAGGAGTATGAAACCGAAAGCGGTTAGGTGCCAGCCATAGAACGCATTCTGAGCTAAAACGTATATGTACAGTACATATCTAGCAAATTCCTTTTAACAGTAGATGATAAACCGGCATACTCTGTCCCAGAGTTTCAGGGGTGGAGATGTTGCAGCCGATCGTAAAAGAATGTGGCAGCGCGCGGCGCACTTCTTCGTCTTAAAGGCCGACGTAAACTTTGAGCTTTCCACTTTTTTTGCCCCCTCCTTTTCTACATCCTCTCCCCTTTTTACTTCTCCCCAACTTTGCTCCCGTCGCAGCTAACGAGGGGAGTTCACTAAAAGAATTATTTTCCCTGCAGAAAACCAAGGATCTAGTACGTCGGCCTTTATGGAAGATATAGCGATCAGTGTCCCTAATGAACGGACTTGAATGTATACTCACCCCAATGAAAATGGAGGTGACTTCGTCTCGCACTTGGTCCTCAGTCAGGCTGCCTTCTTCCATATGCATCCGGAGAAGAATGTCCAGGAAAGATTTCTTGGATTCCGATTCTGCCAACCCCATCTTGTACTCGGACTTTCGGGTCTTGACAATCTGCAGAATTCCGAGGAACGCAAGCCCAGAATAGAACAAACAAACAAACGAACTGATAGCTTTAGTGCCTTGTTCTTTCCTTTTTGTCTGTATGGATAAAAACACGAAAAAACGGAACTTTCCCATTCGTTAGGTTGGGTTCTTGCCAGTGCTAGCGCTAATGCGTTACAAGTAACGCCGTTGCCGGTAACGCGTTTTTTGTTCGTAACAAAGTAACGTTCGTTTTACGTTTTTTTTCAGTTACTTACTTACGTTATTTACTTACGTTACTTATTTCTAGTTACGCGTAATTTAGTTACGTTGCTCGTTACTTCTTTCCAAAACCTCAAACAAGTATACTTACATCTTTTTCGTAGCCGACGCCATACAGCTGATAGGAGCAAATCAGACAGCGTCAAAAGGGCACCATCATGGTGTTCCTGATGTTTCTGTACGTGTTCTATCATCGCTAAACCAATCATAAACAAAACAATTCCAGTGACTTGTCCTTCTGAAGCTGCTTCATTGGTCCCATAAGTTCGACTACGTCTGGACTTCAGTTAAAACGATGTAGAGGGGCTTAGTCATTAATTAAAGCACCCATTCCACACACTTTAAAATATTCGGCTGTCGTTTCCCCAAGCAAAATGTCACCCCTCTGAAAAAACCCAAAGCGCTCGCACTATATGCAAATGTGAAAAAAACGATGTCGTAGAAAAAGAACACAGAAAACAGTGTTAGTGCTATTTTATAAATAAAATACAGCGCAGATGTAACGTGCGTTACTTTTTATTGGTACCGATAAGCGTAAAATGTTGAATTTATTTTGAGGTAACGAAAGTCGGTAACGTGTTCCTTTATTTTGCAGGTAACGACTAACGTATTTCTTTACTTTTTTTTCGGTAACGGCGATAACCCTGGTGCATGCCAACACTTAAAAAATGTAGTCACTGACAGCCTCAAAATAGCAGGACGTGGCATTCTATGTTCACAGCTCTCGTTTCGGGATTCGTCCTTCGGCGCTCCTATATGTTAAAGCTGCAATCTGGTTGGCTGCGCTGACATGACATACTCGGGAGTCGCCATGTATGGATGGATGGATGGATGTTACTGGCTATATATACCCTTTGTAACGGGCGGTAGCTTGCGCCACCTAGCATAAGCCTGAAACGACAAACATATGATGCCTCCCGCCCTTCCAGGCCAATTTTCTCCCCCTAACTATCACCAGACAGTGTGGGATATCACCAGGATGACCTTGGTTGATCGGGCAAAAAAACTAAAACGCATCACCCCGCCTCTTCCTCCCAGCGAGGGAGTCGCCAATTTACCTCTGGTCAAACCTTGTCGGTGTCGCCCCAGCACCGGACCCACTGGTGGACAGGGTTGAGACTTGCCTTTCTTGCCTTTCTTAAAGCGTCAGTGGCTATAGCAACTGTATCCATAACTTTGTTCAGCCTTGCCGGAAAAAATAGAGTTAATGCAACTTAAAAAAAAAAAAAAATGTACGCGGGCCCAGAGCATTTTTTATTTTTTATTTTTTTTCTAGGTAGAAAAAGACATACTTTCGCTCCGGCACCTTTCGGATATATTAGCGGCTAAGAGCAGTGCGAACATACCGACAAATCAAATTTAAAATTATTAATTTTTTTTCTTTCCGATTCGGGTGGTATCGCAGGCTGCATAAACAGGCCCGGGACAGGATGGATAATTCGACGAGTTGGTAGGTATGTATCTTGAAACAACGCGCCAAAACACGGACGTAGAGAGATAGTGAGAGAGAGAGACTGAACGACACGAACATGCTTGCGTCGGCCAATCTTTCTATCTTCGTCCGTGTATATACTTCGTTTGATCCTAAGTCCAGACTCAGCCAACGCTACGAGCTGCTGGTGCTCGTCGTTTTCCTCTACGTGTTCTAAACAAGACAACAAAAATAAACAAGGAAGTCCTAATCACTTGCGCTTTTGATGCTGCTTCATTGGTATTATTACATCGTAGAGTCGGCTGCCTCTGGAGGTAAGATGAAACGTAGTACAGTCGCGCTGTTCAAAATCAATACAAAATACAGGCTAATAACAGTCAACAATAATGTATTTGAGGTAAAAAATTCAATACCAAAGCCTCGTTGTATTGTGAGAAAAATTGCAAGTCACTACACTCTAAAAAATGCCCGTGCGTCTGCTTTCCCGCACAACACTCGGAGAGCCAATCAGCGCAACTTATGGAGGCAGCTCAGCGAATGACGATGCCGAAGCATATGTTTAGACCAAAAAATGCAGTCGGAGTTGTGACGTTAATCAATGCAAAACGTCACGCTTGCATTGCTTAATGTCGCAACTCAGACTGCGTTTTTTCGTCTAAACATATTTCGGCATCGTCATTCACTGAGCTGCCTCCGTAAGTTGCGCTGATCGGCTCTCCGAGTGTTGTGCGGGAAAGCAGACGCACGGGCATTTTTTAGAGTGTAGTTGTGTTGTTTTCGGAGAATCTATAGTAGTTCCTCAAAGTTAATGTTCTTTAAAAAATAAACGACGCTTGGCTTTCGCAAGGTTCGTCGGGGGGATCGTACCAACGATTGAGTTGTCGACTTGCTTCATGCAAAATGTGCCGGAAAACAAAGCATATAGATAAAGCTTTCACCGCTTTCGAAATCAAAGCGAGTACCCAAAGTGCTATAAAAATACTCACTGTGAAAAGCCAATTCTCCGTATGCAAACTGTATGAAAAAAATAAACTGTAACTCAAAGTAATTCTTACACGAGTCCATGTTTTCAATCGTCCTTGCTGACAGGCGTAGGTAAGGGAAGGAAAACGTTGAAGGACGTTTACAACTCCCTGTAACGCCGAATTAGAGCGCAGCTCCTGATGAGGAGGAGGGGAAGGTACGAAGAGGAGGCTATGCCCCTCCTCCTGCCCCCCCCATTAAGGGAAAAAATTCCGCGGTAAATGTAGCGGGAAATTTTTCCCGCTAAAAGTGGGGAATTGTTTCCGCTAAATTTTGTGGGAAATTTTTTTCGCTAAATTTGGCGGGGAAATATGTCCCCTTTATGAAGCGGAAAATTTTTTGAGCTAAATTTAGCGGAGAACATTTTTTGCAAAACTTAGCGGGGAATTGTTTCTGCTAAATTTAAAAAGGGAAAATTTTCCGCTAAATTTAGCGGGGAAATTTACCCATAATGCACCGCGCGGTTACGCCGACGTCGACGGCGACGGGGATGGCGACGCCGCTCAAGCCGGAAACGGGCGCCTAAGAGCTGCGCTCTAAAAACTTCGGGTATTGGATTTACCGCAGTAGTTTTTACTCATGTGGCCTACATCAGCATGACAATGTATTTACCCCTACATACCTTCCCCCCTAACCGCCTCATATCGGGTGGTAATAAGAAGAAAACTTTGTGCAATTAATTGTAGCTTGCGCCGCACCTTGTATATCACTCATAGAAACATATGCTCGTTAGGTACCAGTTTTAATGAAAAGGTGTCCCTGCGTATTTACGCCAAATGACTTTGGTGTAAGGGCTCATATAGGGGATAGTCAGGTGTCTCTTTCTGTCAGTATAATGAAATCGACTGCCGATATAAGAAAAATTAATTAAAGGGTCATTAGACGTGATGTCCACCTAATTTCTGAACGCGCAATTAGAAGCACAAGGTAATTACACTTATGGTATATTAATTCGCTTTTACCTTTTGCGTGAAAGAAGTGCGTTAGATCAAGGGTTTCTAGGAATGTCCAGCTATTGTTATGCAATAAGTTGTTCCAATGCATAGAAATATTTAATATATTTAGACACCATCGTCTGCCCAAGTCATGAATGCAATAGTATTCTCGAGCAAGCACACGTTGCAAATAATCCTTAAAGGACAAGCGACTGGTAGCTGTGAAAAAACGTAAAACTGAAAATGGCGAAAGGTTAACGATCATGGCCTGCGCCATTCTGCGCAACATGTTTATTATTAACTGAGCTACAGTGTTATTTTCGATGCAGGACTACATTGTAAATTGTCGGGTAAAAGGACACGAATCGTACTATAGCCCCCCCCCCCCCCCCCCCCCCCTGAGAGCTTGTCGCTGATTTGCTAAACGTTGAACTCACGTTTACGTGATGAATCCAACCTTCTGTGAACTAAGGAATATGTGGCTTCACGCAGCGAATGGGGATTTCGCAAGTCGGTAGACCAACCAACGAAACGATACTCGGACGAAAGACATCTACTTTGCAGCAACGTTTGCGCTTTAGATAACGAAGAACAACACTAGGTAATTAAGTAGCAGCAGAAAACATTCCTTGATACAGCTTTAGGGGAAAAGAGGCAAGGGAATGAGTCAATGGCGTTCAAGTGTGGCCTCGCATAATGTAATACAAAATTTTCTCTGAACATACCCTATCGTTGTACGCCTGGATGAACTCTACATTCCTCTTGAACTCTTGTGCATTTTTTGTCCTGTAATATATGACATCCGGCCAGTGGAAGATGTTCACCATCCGGGCAATCACGCTGGCGGCAATTCTTTGGAAGGAAAACATAGCCCGGTCACGTTCTGTTTGTTTATCTGCTGTTCATACCAAGGAAGAAAATGCGCGACGTCTGTACTTACTCGTCATTGACTTTGAGAAGCCCTTTGCGGTTCACTTCCTCCTCGTCGATTTTTACACCTAAAGCTGTTTCTGAAAAACAAATTGCGCGACGGTTACTGACGGCATCAAAAGATATTCACTGTGCGGTTTGCCCAACCAGAATTACCGTGGTAATAAAAAGGAAGCCTTAAAACGACGTTGTGGGGCTAAAAGAAGAAATACGCACGAGATAGCTTTCCAATTAAATGCATGTGGGAGTTTTGTAACCTTTCATGTGTCAAAGCTTGTTGCCTCCCTGCACATTTCTTGTTTTTCCAACTCCTCTGAATTCCTGGTGCGGTTATTCGCCGATTCGTGCGACGATAACTTCGTGGACAAACGTCTTTGATTACAGCTTTAAGGTACTTGTACGTTTTCGGGTTCTGTAGTCTAACTGGCAGTGTCCAGCTGCACGGCATTCTTCAGGTTGCAAGACTGATATTTCCAGCTGCACGGCATTCTTCAGATTGCAAGACTGATATTTCATAGCTTGTTGTCCATGGATTTAAAAATGAAAGCCGTTTACAACTCCCTGTATACCGAATTAAAGCGCAGCTCTTGAGAAGGAGGAGGGAAGGGTACTGAGGGTCAAGTGTCCTCGGGGCGGTCACGTGACCGGGGGGGGGGGGGGGGCACGTAACCCCCCGAGGTCACGTCACCCCCCAAGGTCACGTCACCCCCTCCCCGAGGTCACGTCACCTTGGGGGGAGGGGGGGGGGGGTCACGTGACCTGGGGGTATCACGTGACCCCCCGGAGAAATTTTCCCGCTAGATTAAGCGGGGAAACTTCTCCGCTAGATTTAGCGGGGAAGGTTTTCCGCTAAATATAGCGGGGAAATTTTTGTGCTAGATTCAGCGGGGAAATTTTTCCGCTAAATCTAGTGGCGAAATTTTTCCGCTAGATTTAGCGGAGAAATTTTTCCGCTAGAGATAGCGGGGAAATTTTCCGCCAGATTTAGTGACGAAATTCTTACGCTAGATTAAGCGGGGAAGTTTTTCAGCTAGATTCCGCGGGGAAATGTTTCCGCTAGATATAGCGGGAAAATTTTTGCGCTAGATTCAGCGGGGAAATTTTTCTGCTAAATGTAGTGGCGAAAATTTTCCGCCAGATTTAGCGGAGAAATTTTTCCGCTAGATATAGCGGGGAAATTTTCCGCTAGATTTAGTGACGAAATTCTTACGCTAGATTAAGCGGGCAAGTTTTTCAGCTAGATGCAGCGGGGGAATGTTTCCGCTACACTTAGCGGGGAAATTTTTCTGCTAGATTTAGCGGGGTAAACTTTTGCGCTAGATTTAGCGGGAAAATTTTTCCGCAAGATTTAGCGGGGAAACCTTTCCGCTAGATTTAGTGGGGAATTTTTCCGCTGGATTTAGCGGGAGAATTTTATGCTAGATTTAGCGGGGAAATTTAGCCAGAATGCACCGCGCGGTTACGCCGACGGCGACGGCGACCCGCTCAAGCCGGAAAGGGGGTTTAAGAGCTGCGCTCTAAGAGAAATATTGTGAGCTATGTTAGATTTAAAAATATCGATAACTGCCATTCATTATTGTGATCATAATATTAGAAGCTTAAAAGACCGGTATCATAAAGTGTATAAAATGTGACAACTTTCGACTAGGAAACTTTAAGGAGTTCTATGAAAATTATGTACGACATTATATGATTACCTTTGTTATGCTCTGGTTTTGTTAAAAAAGTATAAACATTTGTTCGCCATATAACATGTTCATTTCAAATGTTTGTTTAGTTTACAGGTGTGTATCTTTGGACGATGCAAACGTGTTTTTAAAAACCAAAACTCATACACAAAACATATTTTAAGGTGAAAGTTTATTTTATATACTTCTTTTACGCAAAATTGTAAATGTTTTACTTGTTTAGGCTGATGGTTACTAAAAAAAGCATCACGTAAGCAAATATAACCCGTTATTACTTTATAATCTTGCCCGTTCTCACAATAAATAAAAAATTGCAGTTTCAAACATGGGGACGCACCCTAGTTACTCACCAAAAAGAATTCCGAACGCTGCAAGTCTCACGATTGGGAGCACGTCGAAATATCCCTCCTTGACAAGGCAAAGCTTGTGGACCATCTGTTCAGCTCTTCGGTTCATAATGGGTGCATAATCATCCAGAATTCGGAAGTGGAAAGCCGGTGTCAAAATTTTTCTTCGCATTCGCCAACCGGTCTTCTCTCTAGTATTCGGAAAATCTCAAGTTAACACATCCAGGAATATCTGCAAGCAGTATTGACGTATACCATTTGTTTTTAGTGACTCAGAAATTTTATCAAAGGAAGTGGTAGAGTGACCTGTCACCGATTATGATCTTTGTTAGGACTAATAAAAAAAAATATTGCTACCTTCGGGAAAAAAATAATATGGTTTGATATAGAGTAAGTAACCTCAGAAAGGGTAGTCTGTCTAAAAAAAAAAACAAAAAACAACTGGAAGCGATGAAATAATTAATATATTGTATATTTTTCTTCCCAAAATTATAATTAATAGTTTAACTACGTTTGTGAAATTTGCTATAATCCAGATTAATCGTAAAATGAAATAAAAATATTAAGGTCTTCCATAATAAGAAACATGCTGAATATATATAACATGGATATTTTGCAATAACATTGTATGATGCTAAGATTTTGTGTTTTGTTAATTATTACTTTATCTAAATTCGTGCGCTTTTGACGATCATTATTTCCGATATCTAGTTTCACAGCCACAAAAAATAACGGGAATTTCTCTTGTGTCTTCACGTCATGTCGCTCTATGAGTCCTGAATTTTTTCTTAGAATAATGAATCTACAAATTAAATATTTTAGGGTATCATTACCAAGTTTCATTGATGTCGGAAAGTACGTGTTATATGTCAGTATATTACCGTTGGCAATTGCACCGCACCAAATTGCTGTAATTATAAGATGAACGTTGAAAATTCGTAGTGCAATGCATTTAAAACGAACTATTACCTGAAAAAAGGAAACTGCATCGTTCTTATTAATCATTAACTTAAATTACGTTATGCAAAAACCCAGAGTCGTTATATGTTGAGTTATAAAGGTATTCACGAGACTTTGAATCGTTTGTGACTGTTCGCCGCGCATGCTCAGAGCTAGAGCCCTTTATCTTCTGCAAAAAAGCGAATACCTCCATTGGGAGCAATCCCCGAGAATGCACATTCAACGGGCATTCCTCCCAGAACGGATGGTGGTTTTTGGCCGACTTGAAATAGGAGCTAGCTCTCGGCGTTCGCGGGAAACTACGACAAACATTATGACGTTCTGTGAATACTCCCTATTAAATCGCATTCACCAGACGCCTTAATTCAAGTTCAATGTAACACGTGTGTAATCTAAACCAATGAACTAGCTATTCCTGTCAACATTTCGTGAACGGTGGATATATTAACACAAAGAGGCATGACTTCAGCAATTCGCATTGGGAAGCATATCTTGTTTTATACCCAGGTAGCACAGAGCTATGAGCCTAATGATGGCTTTTGTCCAAAAATTCGGGGCCTTGAGAAGCCTGAAGAAACCAATGTAGTGCCAAACCTGACCTTCTTTGGCAAGAGTCTGGGTATCTATACCCTAATTCGTCTAACAAGTTCCAGAATTAGCCGAATTTCGTGGTAGTTCGGCTGTCATCTGGCATCTTAGGGCTCAAATCGCCACAAGTGACAGAGGTAGGCCCACCCAGGTAACACAACGGAGAAACGCCTAACTTGGCATAATTTTCGCAATCCTAGGGTTTTAACTTGGCCCTAATACGGGTTTCAATAAGGTGTTAGTGCCAGAGTATTTTTCTATGGCATTTTTATGGCTCTTCTCTCGCTCGCCAAATAATTGCCAAAGTGCCAGATTTGAGCCAAAGATTCCAAATAACAGCCAAACTGCCAGCAGTGAAGCCAAGATATCACACTTCTACGACAATTTAGGCGCAAAGTTGTTCCAGGAAAACCAAACAACCGAAAGTGAAGCCTAAATTTGGCAGTTGTTTGGCGGTTTAAGCCCAGACATGCTCAATTACAGCCAAACTATGCGCAGCGAAGGCAATCTTTTGCACTTGTTTGGTGAATTAGAGCAAAACTACTCAGACTGGTCAAGGAAGGTCAAGCTTGGGCTTACTTTGACTTCATCAGGCTTTTTAAGGCCCCCAATTTCCAGGGAAAAAGCAGATTGTGGCACAAAGAACTGTGCTACCTACCAGGATACTGCCTGGTAGTTCTGCTGTTATCTGGCAACTTTGACCTCAAATTGCTAAATATGTGCCAATGTTAGGCTTCACGTCCTAAGTGTTTGGCTGTCATTGGAACCTTGTGATCCAAATCTACACACAAGCGGCAGAATTAGGCTTGCATGCCTGGTAGAGCTTGACTGTCATTTGGTACCTTTGAGACCAACTCGCCTTAACAAGTGCCAAAGTTAGGCTTCGCTTTCGTTAGTTAGGCTGTCATCTGGCACCTCTGAGCCTAAATCGCCTAACATAGGCCAGAGTTAGTCTTCCTGTCCGGAACTTCGGTGGTCATCTGGCGTCTTTGGTCCCAAATCGCCAAACAATTAAGTCTCAGAGTTAGGCTTTATTGTCTGGTAGTCTGGTTAGCACCAAGCATCCTTGAGTCTCAATTCGCGAGCAAATGTCAGAGTTAGGCAATGAAGGCGTGACCCGTTGGCCCCTGTTCATTTATGTTTGCGGATAGAAAATTGACAAGAGTATTTGTATAGGGCGCGGGTGGTTTGCGGCATAATTAAATAGAAATATCATTTATTTCTTTCAGTAACTTCTTTATTTTATTTCATGTGTCTCGGGATTTCACCCTCCCTTTGGGGGGCGAAACATTTTGTCGCGGCTCGACTAGACAACGATGATTTTGCAAATGTATAGAGCGCCGGAGTGTCCTCCTGACGCGTAGGTTCACACATCAATGACCGGTTGGATCATTCAAAGGGGCGGTGCAGCAATATATAGTAAAAATATTGTTCTCTTTACGCCAGGTTACTGACACTGGTGGGGCCCAAGTATAATCGCACACAACGCCGATGTGCAAGCAATCTTTTTGTTGCGGCGTAATAGATCCAATTCAGAAGTTAATCGAGCAACATTGGCGGCCGCTATTGCTTGGACACGAAGCGCGTGATTTGACCCGAGTCCTCGCCGAACGCTGAAAAAGCACTTGCTTTCAATACAAGCTTGGCCGAGTTCACCCCGAAAGCTGACGCACCCCTCGCGTCCACTACATGCTCAGGATATGTGAACAAGCAATGGCGAAAGGCGTAGGAGCGGCCTTTTAAAAATAAACTGTTAAAAAAACGATATTTCTTTTAAATGTTCTTTGAAGATTTTGATGACATAGTGTGGAGGTTACGGTGTTTTGGCTTTTGGGCTTGGCGATTGAATTAGCGTGTGACAATAAAGAAAACAAAATTGAATAGTGTGATTGTGTGTGTTTTATGCGTGTGTCATCTTTGTTGTAATTCCTTGTCTATGCTAAAATGTATAATACGTGTGCAAATGTGATATAACCGTTTTGCATATGGGAGTGTGATGAGTGTGAAAAAGATCTCAACCAGCGATAACATATTTTTTTACCAAATTTGAATTTTCCGTTGACTACCACCACCTAGGTGTGTAAAGGCGCAATTTAGTAATGAGGTAAGGGCGCAACATTTAGTCCCAATGGTCTAAATGCAAGGGTGCAAAGTTAGTCCTGGGGGTTCAACTTTGAGGGACTAGCAGTAGGGGAGCAAAGGTTTCCCCCCTTACGGTTTCTCCTTTAGGGAAGCAATGGTTGTGTCAGTGTATTTTGTCTCTTGAGGGAGCAAGTCACGCTCCCTTTTTTCTTAGAGTGTAGAAATGTCCTCGTGCCGCTAAGCAATGGCACGCACACTATATCTATTCGTGAAATCCTGCAGAATTACGACAGAGAGTAAAAAGCGGAGAAATACTCACATCATCAAAATACCATTTCCAATCCATGGTTTCATCATGTTGTAAAGAAACGCCTTGTTTAAATTCTGTGTGTTGTTGAGAATTGGCTGAAGCAAAAAAGCAACAAAGTTAGAACAATACTAATGAAAATTTAGTTTACGTATTGCGCTTAGGGCCTAAAAAATTAAACAGAATTAGACCAGCTTCTACCATGGCCTGTTTAATTGTATTGTCTTTGATTGTTAGAAGCTTAGACTCACCTCAATTGCTGTTGGCGTCGTGGCGATGAAAAAAGGTTGGGGACCATAGTAGGCCACTGTCACTTCGTTGTCTTCGATTGTCTTAAACATCCCTTCGAAGTAGTTGAATATTTCTAAAACAATTGGAATTCAAGTTAGGTTTTCGTGTTAACGGTCATAAACCTGATTTTCCTCAACATTTGTTAATGTATAAACTCTCCCTTTTTAAATGAGATATGATTGACAAGGCCACCAAACCGTGAGATTGCATGCGTCCATCCTCATTTGGTGTAAAAATAGAAACCAATTAAATCTCACCGTTGAATTTAGTGGGAAGCATTGTCCCACTAAAGAGAGCAGAAACCCCCAATCTAGTGTTCAAATATACACACATTCAGCTTAGCAACAAGCAACACATTGTATTGGTTCCAAATATGCATAATAAAGGGCATATATTATTACAGTCATGTCTCGTTAATATGGACACCGTTATTATGCATACCCCGCTATATGGACAGCATTTTCAAGGACAAACTGGAAAAATACATGCATTTTTGCCTCGTTATCATGGATGATTTCTTGGGGGATTGGAGGCGTCGATATTAACGAGACGTCACTCTATCTCGGTTGCAATTTATACTTTTATGGCCCCGGGTACCGCTCTAGAATGGTATGCCAAACAAGTTTGTGTTTTATACGTTTGATTAGTTAAACCCCTTCCGGATGTCATCTGCACAAACTAGCACTAATTTAAGGTTTCTAGACTTGTAACCTGTCGGACTAACTGACTAATGTTAGGGAGCAAGTATGAGCACAATGTGCAATTAAAATAACCCATGGCTTAATTTGGTTGCAATTGTGTGCGCTTAAAAATACTTCGCTAATAGCATTTGATTGTTTCTGGTAGGATGTAGCAAATGGAACATTGTAATTAGCCGGAAAACCGATCATTTGTATTTTGCATTTTTAATGTGTTGTTAAAAAAAAGACGGTTAAAGATTTAAATTGGAGGGCATGTATATACGAGATCATCGTTGATAATAAACGGCGTTCAACTTATCTGGGTACGTAAGATATAAAGAAATGCTGATTAAAAGACTTATTTGGCTCTAGCTGTGCCGCCTTGACCTTATATCTCCCTCCTCGCTATTTATTGAATAGGAGAGTCGGAACTCTTCGAGAAATAATTATAGTTAATATTAATATTTGCCTCTCTTGTCGATCACCATCAAACAATGTATGGGCAACATGATTGTAAACGTGAGACTGGGGCTGAAAGAGAACGCAACAGAAGGTAGTAAAAGAGGAGGCAACATCTCAAACCCAGCTGCAAAGTTTATTTCGAGCATGCTTTATATACCCCATCTCCAACGCCGTCCCTACAAAAAAAAAAAAAAACACACACACACACATCACAAGAGGACAATGACACTTCGGTAAACCTTCTCTTTCTGCCCCAGTCTCAGGTTTACAATCATGTTCAACTTACACCAGCTCGCCTGCACTCTGACTATTTTTTCGTTAATGTATGGGCATAAGTCATTTTAAGAATAAGCCAGCGTGATTAGCCTTGTTCTAAAATAGACAAGCTTAGTGTTATGTTCTTGACATGGTTCGAAGTTTGTAATGGCCTTAAAACGACGACTGCTTTTCCCGTAGCTCGTTTTCTACTGTGCGTGTAATTTTAAACTTGTGATAATGTGATTACGCATTTAAAAGTTGTAAGGGACAGCACCACTTGCAGACACTCGTAGTAGATTAAACAAGAAGTATAGCTGTTATTATGTTAGCTATAGCCTTAATCGAGTGGTAACACAAAATGCATGACCAAAAAGAAATGAATGTCTGCATGATGACATACATGGGTTCCCACGTTCTTATGCCTTCCCCTTTATGTCATTGTAAGGTGTAGTACAGATGTAGTAACCAAAATAAAAGTTAACACAGATCGTTATAATTTATTTCTTTATTAGAAAGCGCGCATAAACGAAGCTGGATGCTTTCGGCGCAAGAACGTTCTTAGAGCTTGGGAAAGTTATGATGAGCCATATCGCAAATAATGCCAACATTCTTTCATGAATACAAACTTCTAAAACAATAAGTATGACGTGTACTTACTTGCCGTTACCTCGAGTTCGGGATCCATTTCAGAGAGCGCTTTCCACATATCCAGCGCGAGGGAAAATGGCCACCTCTCTTTCGGATGGGGTATTTTGCGAAGGTGCCAGTGCATGCGTAGCCACTGTGCCAAAATCCGCACAACGCTCACCACGATCGCGATAGTGAAAGTAAATGTGGCGACGAGAACCCCCATATAAAATCTCGAAGAGTTCTCAAGCAACTCGGTTATCCAAAGCCGCTGAGTCATTTTTTTGTGTTGCTAAGTGTATGCCGCGGAATTCGAAGTACTGGCTATCGTGAATAACACGTGAATACGTTTGGTGTTTAACTGCGCAGGTTTCTTTTGTATTGCGGGGACCTCGGCCCACATCTTTGCGTAGTACCCCCTTCCCTCTTCAAACAATAAGTGGGGTAGAGGAAAAGACAATAGCCAAGCAGTTATGGCCGACACTGAGAGTAAAGAATAAAAAAAAAGAAGTCAAACAAGATCGAATGGTAGAGGACGCAATTTGGTCGGTTTTTTCTTCTTCTTTGTTGACTACGACGTTTACTTTTTGAAAACGAAGGTCGTGGAGATATTGATGGCATATCTATTTCTCTTGGGATTGTAGCCACTGAAACGTAAAGTGGACGTTTCCTTTCTTCATAGGTGGTCACGCACCGGCAAGTTCTTTGGCCTCCGACAAGAAAGGACGGTAATTTTTCTTTTTCACACAGTCATATGGGTATAGGTACTGCATTTCAGACAGATTCTTCTTTTAATTCACACACTGAAATAACTCAGGAATGCAAGAAAATATGTGGGGTCAAAGAAACGAATAATGCGACTCGCAAGGCACCGAGTATTTTTTTTTTCTTCTAAAAGAACCGGACTTCAAGAAAAGAGACAATTTGAAGCTCAGGTGATAACACAAGATAACAACATTTATTTTCCAACCTACTTAAGTTATTTTATGAGGGCCATCTTCATCTTCGTTTGAAGCACGGAAGCTCCATTCGAAGAGGGTTTTTGATGTAGTGCAGTCATGATTGATGTATGTAATGAAGTTGGTGACGGGGATGCCATCTGTGAACGAATATAAATCAGTGGTCGGACACGTTGAAATGCCGTTACAACAATATGTGAAGCCCTCATTCTGACAGCTTATGTATCTTTTTAAAACTGTGAGATAAGATTAACAGCAAACCTCCAAGGAAGTTGTTTTTATGGTTCGATGGGTCTGAAAGTGGGGTAATTGTTTTATTTTTTATTAAGTTTTTCTGAAGTGAGTTTGCTCTATAGGATTATAGACATTTTTATAATATTTATAGAGGGTTCCTAATCATTACTTTTTTTATATGTTTAGTTTGCTTTCGTTAAGATCCTCTCTAAACTTGAGGCGATTAATATATATGCTTACACTCAAAGATTAATTAAATTGAATCCAGTTTCTACGCCAACAACAGCCGTATAAATTGAAAGCTGAAGAGCATTCTAAAATTCGGTACGATTACATTGACGTTAACGACTTACCTTTGGTGTTATGCAGACCTTTCTCTCTTTGTTAACTTCAGTTCGATTCCTTCAACAGGCCTTAAGACGATTTCGATCTGCAGCTGGAGTTCCTCAATAGGAACTTTAGATTCCACTTTGAACCGCCTTAGAATCTGCGCTAGCATGATCTTGTCCTCTATTTGTGCAAATCTCTGACCTAGAATAAAAACATAAAATATCAGCATATGCTAACACAAACAGGGGTGATTAAGGTGAATGTAGAAAACAGCTAAAGTTAAAATTTCCTACCAGCTGGCATGCATTAACGATACATATACGCGAAGTATAGCCGTTAGTGAAAATTAGGACTTACAGGTTGCACCAGAAGAAAAAAAAATAATGCTTATAACTCTATCATGTACTTTTCAAGACATGATTGTATTAACTGCTAAGTATTAGGTAATAGTAACTGATCTTCAATGAATATTTTTTATGCAACCGGCGCAAAGTATTATGTGACACCGGACCAAGTCAGGCTTCTTACTGGAAGCTTTTTGTGCGTTGTTCTCGGCACAATTTTGTTCTAAAAGTGGTCAAATTTCAATGTTCAAATAAAACACCACGCACCAGACGGTGTATATGTGTTAGAAATTAAGTGTGGGTAATAATCACAGTAAAAATTAAATGTAGGGTGTAAAAAAGTTAAAATGAAATGAGGCATTATTTGTGAGATGTGTACACCGTTGTAAATAGAAAACTGCACACAACATCAAGAGCGTGTCGTAGTATTTGGGCTCATTATTTGTTCAGCTATAGGTGTGGAACTGGAGCGACCCTAGTGTGTAAAGTGCCGGAGATAGGGCTAGGCATCGATTAACTATTTTAAGCCGATTAATTGCCACCCTTTAATCGATTAAATTATTGATTAGTCGGTTTTGTTTATTCCCTTGCATAATAAATTTTTAAGGGTAAATAATTTTTGTTTGCTAAATATTTGATGAATGACAAAATGTACAATTTCGGATTTCAAATAAACCTTAATGTGTAGTCAGGACAGTGAAAGCACACCCACACTGACACCTTATAACTTCAGCCGCAAAAGCAGAGATAATGATTGATATTCTCCCACAATATCGAACTCCTTTGATTGTTCACAATAGTCTGCTGCTCTATACAGACACTCGCACGGCATTGAAGAGGCTCGGACACGCATAACGTTTCCCACTGGTTTAGAGTTATAAATCTCGCCTCCACAATTTATTTTAGGTACAAATTTTAGCTCAAGTTTGCCTTCGTACAGCTGTACTCGTTCACGTCTGTGTGGTGAATGCGCTGAATTTTTACTTTTTTTTTGTTTATCAAGACTTAACCAATTAAGCGGTTAAAATTTAATCGCGATTAGAGCATTAACCCATTCATCGGTAAGTTAATCGATCAAGTGCCCACCGCTAGCCAAGACTGAAGTAGATTAAAAGTCTCACCAATGCAATTTCGAGAACCTCCTGAGAATGGAACGTAGGCGTACGGGTGCCGTTCTTTTTTCTCGAGGAACCTTTCGGGTATGAAGTCATTGGGGTTTTCATACACTCTGGGATGCCGATGCAAGGCGAAGATCACTGCAAACGCTACGGTGCCTCTCGGTATGGTGAACTCGCCTGGAGAAAAGTGAACATATTTATTTGGGCCGACGCGATTCTACTTTTTTTGGCTAATTAATCCCACTTGATATATACGAATGGCCACAAAATTGATAGAAATTTAGGTGTCAATTTAAACGTACAGAGTGTACACGCATGCTAATCTATTCGAAGTGTGAAAGTATCGATTCCAGCAACCGTAATATTTTACACTTGATTGTATTCACATTAGATTCTTAGAGCTTACAAAATATACCACCACAATAGACTCTGCCTCCGAAGAAGGTACAATTTATTTAAGTGGTGCTAACCGGAAATTATAAAACAAAATTAAAAAGCAAAGAAGTGTTAGTCCTTTGGATATTTACAACACCTCATGCTTCGCTATCAGAAAGAACATAAGATATCAGGTGCAGGAACTCACCAACTTTCATGTCCTCGTCAATGTTCCGAGCAACCACTGGAACTGGAGGGTACAAACGCATAGATTCCTACAAGCAAAAATATTTCACATTGAACAAGGATCCGAGCGGTCAATAGATACACCCATCTTCGTCTTATTAAAATCTAATATTCTCGCTGCACACATGCGACGGTAGTAAGTGATAACTTAAGCAACGCAGTGCTTGGCCTATCAGGATCATGCTTCTTGCATTGTGATTCCATTCCCGGCATTTTTATTTGCTGATGCCGTAATATTATCGGCTGCGTAGCGATAATAAGATTTTCAGGATTCGGGCCATGCCCTCAGTTTCTTAAGCTGTCACTGACCATAAATGCTAAGCGCTACTCTTTTATTGTTAAAAGTACATAGGTTCTTTAACGCGTTTTACATGAAGAAAATTTGAAGCAATAATTAAGCGATATGTTACTATTCGCAAAAAGAAAACGCCTTAAAGATTGCAGTTTTTTGCTTAAACAATTCATTTATATAATGTTAATAAAAACAGAGAATCATGCAATCACGCGTATCAGAAGTGTCCGATAGGTAGAATTCGATAACTATTTAATTAATTGGCCTTAACTGATGGCGCGTAAAAATAACAAAAAAGGTCAATGTTGATTACGTAGTTCGTCATAGTAATCACGCCTTTGTATGTTTAATGCTTCACCGTCACTTTAATAGGCACTGGCAAACCATGATGACTTAAGCTGTGTTATGGCCTAAATGGAGTTAGGGAGGACATGCAAAGGGTCGGAAGAACTCATTATTTCCAGTCATATACTTTGTGGGTTGAATACGTTGTTACAATATCTTGTCAATTGTACAACACGTAAACTAACGCTTTTAAAACGTTTTTAACGGCCCGCAAAAGGCAGCGCTGGTCACTTCGGCTTATGATTGCGGACGATCCTCCAAAAGAACCCGAATCGGCCTGCGTTTCCTCGACGCCATCTGTCGGCAACACTTCTCACTATGCATGCATCGTCTGCAAAGTGGCGGTGTAGATTTCCCAGAATATGATTCTGTTTTCGATTTCTTTTGAAGGATTTGAAGGAGATAAGATAATTCGTGGATTTTTTCTCTGTAAACGTCCTCTACCTGTTTGCACCTCTGTAGTATATTGCATCCGGATGCGTCGAGAGACCGATGGCCTTAAAAGCGTTAGTTTACACGCTGTAGATTGGACTCTAAAAAAGCGGATATAACCAGCGCATTTGGCGCATAAAATATGGTTGGAATATCTAGACATCTGTACTAGATTTTCAGTGTGAACCACTGAGGGTGATTGCCAAGACAGTGATTCAGGTACCTTGCTCTGTAGCTAATATAATGTCTCAAAGTCTCCATCTAACGAGTATTATACTGCGGCATCACTCGTCCAGTAGGGTAGCAATGCTATCCCAAAATAAACAAAATTATAATCAGTTCCAAACAAGCAGTCTGGCACTAGTAAAGTTGAGAATAGTCAGGCTCGTGCCGGCACAAGCATATCTAGAATAATGATATTGCGGTCAGTGGTCTTGGCTCAGCTAAATTGAATCCCAATACTACCAAAATGAAGAAAAGCTCTTTTTTTAAATCACACAGAGCTGACTCAAGCGCCGGAGGAAGCAGAGGAAATATAGTCATGACGAAGGTCAAACATTCTCTTCGCCCGAGAGCATTGCAGTAATCATACAAAAATATAGTGTGGAGAGTCCGTCATACATCAGTTACTTCAACCTTCACAATTTCCGCCGATACACTCGCTTTTTCTCGACCTTGGTTTGTACGCATATTGCTACAATAGTTGGCTATTCTTAACAGATGTCGGCATGTTCCATTGTTCGCCATCCTATTTTTCTATGCATGGTGTTCCGAAGACATAGGATGAAGCGAAGTACCTTCTATGTTATGACGTTTGAAAAACACCGTAGGACCGAGGTTTTTGTCACTTATATGAGTAGTTTTCCTTTTAAATGTATTCTCACTTTAGTCTTAAATAAAGATTATTATCAGGCTCGCTTCAATATCTGAATTTTCCTGCAAACGTAGTACTCCATCTGAACGTTTTGCATGAAGATATTTTTTTTGTTTTCTTGATCACTTTTTTACTTATTTTATGATGTTGCGTTTTTATAGGAATTATCCGGGTTTGCACGCTTCGTTTTACCCTGCGGTGGACAGCTGCGGATTTTACGCGCCCTCCAACCCAATCTAACACTCTTAGCGTAACACGGGATTACAATCCCCGCTTCGCTATGTGCTTCCCCAAGGTCAAGTGAAACTCACCCGACATTGGATTTGCATTCATAGCTCGTTGCGTCAACTAAGATTCATTATAACGTAACACGGGGTATAGTGTGGCATAAACTGACCTTGCTTTCTAATGGATATAATATATACTTTTTGGAATATTTATTTATTTTGTTCATGATGCTATGACTTGATCAATAAGCAATTGATCACGAAGGCGATCTTTCAGGTGACTTTCAGCGTTTCGATTTTAATTTTCATGTCCATGAATTATTGAATATTTTTGGTTAGCGTTTCTCCTAATAGACCTACCGCATGACAGTTTGCTGGGAGAATCACACAGTGAGTTGTCGTTTTATAGACTTGAAGGTTTCTGCCAAATTGTTTTTTCTCGTGATTCATAAAGTGAACCCACTTTATGTCCTTAAGCGTGATCTATTAAATGCGTGACTACACAAAAAAGACGTAAACTGAAGAGAAATTTTAATTTATATTGTTAACTAATTGAAGATCAATGAGCATGGCTCTTGTTCTGCTATTTATGTTTAATAAAACAAAGTAATTGTAAGTCACAAGATTCATATTCTTATATTGCAATACCAATTAAGTGAAACGCTTTAAAATCTGGTTCACGTTCTGTTTTTTACTTTGTGTCACACATCAAGACTAAAAATTGTCACTTTCCTCATCTACAGGCTACTAACAATTGTTGCAAACGCACAAATCTTCTACGCATTTAAAATGAAAAATCTAAGAACAATTGAATAAAACTTCTGAGGCAAAACTTCTACCACAAACATTGGTGATTAGTGTACATAAATTAAAACATATGCGTTATATAAGCGGAGTGGGTAGACCTATTTTTTGTGGTAATTGTGTTACCTTCATGAATAAGCTACACTACTTTGAAATGTGAATGTTAAACCAAGCGCGCAGAGGGATGGCTGCCTAATGTTTTAAAGTTACGCGATATTTTTTTTTTACCTATCAAACTAAATTGACGAAACCTAAAATTCATTGGAATTTGTTGATCACGAGCCCTACACTGGCATACTTTCTTTAAGAACGTTTGCAGAAATGATCTATGTACCTCGCCTCGCTAAATGTAAAAAAAAATCTAAAACTTTACAGTGATAGAAAATGTGTAAATTTAAGCGCAGTTCAAGAGGAAATGGCTAAAACCAAAGTCTAAGGTATTGCTTCTTCTACTGGCAGTTTCTTCATGTCAATCTTAGATAACACAATATGGGCTGAATTTGAATAAAAAATAAAGCGACCTAGTTGCGTATTTTGTCCCATTTCATTATGACAACTTTTGCATTTGTCATTTGTGTACCAATTAGCTTTTCCATTAAAGTATTTAATAAAGGTAATGCATTTGATCGATAGTTACCTTGATGACACATTCAAGATATTTTAGTTTCTTCATGTCTTCCAGCGTCACGGGTCTATCCCAGTCATCGCCGAACACCTCGTCAAGCTCCCGGTGCACTTTGGCTTGAATCTCAGGATAATGCCCCAGCAAGTAGAGCGTGTAGGATGCTGCTGTAGCCGTCGTGTCGAAGCCCTGATAAACAAACAAAACCAGCCCGGATCAATGCAAAAAGTATGTCAATACTTATGCTTATCACGCCTCCGAACCCAAAGCGCCCTATTCTTGTTTAGCTTCGTTAACCTGGTCCGATTTGATAGAAACATAGTCATAGCTAAGATTGTCTGAAAGAAAGAGCTCCGAAAGCTATCGCGCGAGAGGCGTGCCACGCTAATGGGAGTTTCAAAAGTTCCCGCGCCCCACGCTTAGCAGGTTTTGTGCTGCATAGTACTAGCTAAGATACTGTTTCTACCGAGACCGACTTTATTTGTTTAAGACATTCTATGCTTTAAATGCTTTTTTCAAAGTCATAAAGCCAGCTGTATCAATACTAATTTTAGACATTTGAACAAGGGAGAATATAGCCGGGATCAACAGGATTGACATGTCTAGCATTGGTGCACTTTAAATCATCAGAACTACTTGGAACGGGAACTCAGCATAGTAGTATATGACTGAAAACTGTTTTACAAGCACTAGACAGATTTATATTTTTTTGTTTCCTTAAACTTAGGTCCAGGAAATTCGATATTGTTGAAGCACAGTTTTATTACACTTGTTCGTATAGCGCATTTATTTGGTCTAATAACCACATTGATATCTTGAAATAAAAAGTGGATCTCTATTCGTCACATTTATGCTTATACCTATGAGAAAAGCAAAAGGATGAGGATATAAGTCCTAATAAAATTCTGTAAAATACAAAAAACCATAGCCCTTGAGTACCTTTCTTACATTTCAGAATATACCCGTAGCCTTCAAAGGCGTTTGCACACCTAAAGATTCATAATCCACCATGACGTACTGCCCCCAACCTGTTGGTGCTTGCACGTTCAAGAAACACTACAGCGAACGGTGTGAGACAAGAATCGTACATCTAAAAAAGCTGCTGTGTTAATTGGGCTTGCCTAGAATTTTAACCCACTTTTCCTGATAACAAGTACAGAAAGTGTTTATCTTCTGATAACCTTTTAGGCTTATTACTACCTATAGTTTGATCAACACGGTTTTATAGAGAAAAGTAAGTGGAAAAACAATCATTACACCAATGAAAACTGTCGCGACTTCATCTCGGACTTGATCCTCCGTCAGAGTGCCGTCTTCAAGATGCATTCGAAGCAGAATATCCAGGAACGATTTTCTCTTGTTGCTATCTTCGAGTCCAACCTTGTATTCTGCTTTTCTTTTTTTCACAATCTGTCACAAAAGAATAACTTGTGTATTACATATATATATATCTTTAAAATAAAACTGCAATGCAACACTAGCCATATTAATTTTGGCTTAAATATAATATCAAGAGCAATGGGTTTGCAAATTTTTGCACTACCAGTGTAACAATATGACAGTTTTCACAAGTGTTCACGCTCTAAATGAATTATTCATATATATATATATACACTCGGGACTGGCATTATCGGACGCACCTTTTGCTTTGAAGTGCAGAGACAGTGTGCACAACATGAATGCGAGTACGTTGTCAAACTTCTCTGTCTTAATCGTCTATTAGTTTCCAACAACTACCACCTACCTGTTCATTGTAGCTTCTGATGTATTCCACATTGTTGTAGAACCTCTGTCCTTTCTTTGTTAGGTTGAACACGAAGTCTGGCCAATGAAATATGTTAATAATGCGACCAATGACGCTTGCAGCAAGCCTAGGGAGAAACAGAAGTACAAAAAATGTTAAAACTGTTTCAAGAAAAAAGTAGAAAGTTAACCTAAATAGTTAACAATATTTAGTACTCACTCGTCGGTCACTCGAAGTAGACCTCTCCTCTCAACTTCAGCTTCGTCGATTTGGACACCCATTGCTGTTTCTACAAAAAAAAACAACACATTCAGTGTTTAAAAACATTGGATGGCAAATTGTTGAGCAATCATGTTGCATACGTGAAGCGTTCTAGCATCACGTGAAATCAGGTTATGTGACGTCAATTTTCCTGCTAAATATAGCGGGGAAACCTACTTGGTGTGTATTCATGTGGCGTTAATTTTCTCGTTAAATTAAGAGAAGAAACTAAATTGCGGGGAAATTGAGGTCACGTGACATCAGGTCACATGACTTCAATTTTCCCGCTGAAGTTTTCGGGGAAGCTGAAGTGGTGTGTAGGTCACGTCACATTAATTTTCCCGCTAAATTTAGCAGGAAAATTGACGTCACGTGTTTGTACACTAATTCAACTTCCCTTCTAAATCTAGCGGAGAAATGGAATTGGTGTGTGAATCTGTAACGTACCCTATGTCAACACTGCGCGCGACGCCTCTTGGGACATCACAGGCAACGGCTTCACGAAATGCGGCTTAACAAAATCCTAAGTCACTAGCCGATAACGTAAAAAAAACACGTTTGAAAATTGCGTAGTGCTTACCAAATAGCATTCCGAAGGCTGCCATTCTCAAGACGGGCAGCATGTCGAAGAACTCCCCCTCCATTTTCCGAAGCTTCTGAAGCAACTCAGTTGTTCTACGGTTTATGATCGGTGTGTAATCTTCAAGAATTCGAAAGTGGAATGCCGGTGTCAAAATTTTCCGCCTCGTCCTCCAAACGTCCTTGTCGCTGTAAGGTAAACAAGAGCGTTATTTTTTTTTTAGTTCGGTGTGTGTTTCGTCCTTTCAAATTCTCCATTATCTGAGAACTGAGCAACACACAGCACCGGCCTAAAGATTTTGGGGGGAGTTACCTTGTAAGAATTCCATTTCCCATCCAAGGAGTCATCATTCGGTAGATGAAGGACTTGTTTAAATTCGACGTGCTGGACAGAACTGCCTGTAAGATATAATGTACTGTAAACCAAAACTCGCGACATTCGTTGTTTCCTGCATAGTTACTGTCCCGTAGCTAAAAAAGTAAAGTGCATTTTTGGCAACATCACATTCAAGCTTAATCAATTTGAACCTGACCTTAAAACTGTAAACCAAAACTCGCGACATTCGTTGTTTCCTGCATAGTTACTGTCCCGTAGCTAAAAAAGTAAAGTGCATTTTTGGCAACATCACATTCAAGCTTAATCAATTTGAACCTGACCTTAAAACATTCACTAGCGTTTGGTCATTCATACCTAACTTCGTAGCACAGTTTAAATGAAAATTGAAATTCTTTTTACTACAGTGCTTAGTAGACGTTTCACTTCTTCACCTACAAAGAATGTAATGAAACATAACATTAAGTATTTAATTGACGTATTAAATACGACACCCGTTAAAACTGCTGCAGTAAGCACGAATATCTATTGTGAATCACTAATTAACACTTTATATGTCAAAATGGGGGTAGGTGCAATATTTGCTGGTTGTATTCAGCATCATACTTATGGAAAGTACGTAATAAAAGGTTACCTCCATTGCTGTCGGGGTTACTGCAAGCAGAAACGGCTGTGGTCCGTAGAATGCAACAGTCACGTCCTGGTCATGAATACTCGGGATAAGAGTATCGAAGTATTTATGTAACCCTGAAAAGGGGGGGGGGGGGTGAAATATTGCAAGACCTTTTACAACGCAGACATCAAAGTATTCAACAATCCAAGCTCATGTTTATATTGATTTTAAATTGTAATAATTGGTTTTGTTGAAAGATAAGCTCGAAATAATTTAAAATTAAATAAGAAAAGATAGTCCTCGATTACACTGCAAAATATCACAGTTTATACCCTGGAAATGAGTTCTCTATATACTCTATATTTAAATGTAACTACGTCATTATTTGCTAATGTTTTGCTCACTGATGGGAGAGTTTTTTTAAATTATAAAGTGAGCCAAATGGGATATATGTATTTTTTATTATTGTGCACTTGTGTACGTTCGCGAAGTTCGACATGCTAAAATGTTTACTAATTCCCTATGCAAGAAAAAAAATTAATTTAGGTGTTAATGTTAAAACAACGTACGGTCGGTTTGTCCTAGTATGCGACGCAGATGTACACTATTGATGAGAAATGCGTTTAAGGCGCTTTGCCAGCTATAAGTGACGGAAATGACTTGTATTGTTAAACTTCTCTCGTTCTGTGATTCGTTCTTCAGGGTTTTTATCGGCCGAACCCACAAGTTCATTGATTCTGGAACAATATTAATGTGCTAGGAGTTCACCATGCTCGGCGTTTCTTGAGGTCTCCAGGGACTAACAACTAGGAACTTCAACGTGAATCACGGAATAGATGTGAGTGCACGTTGGCACGATCCTCATTAAGATAGCAACGGGCAGGTAAGGGAGCTTAGACCAGGATCCGTTGGGTTTGCAGCGCGTGCTTCCGCACCACCTGATCCGAGCTGCGGTGCCGCTTACAAAATCGATCACTGAACTCCCAATCACACTGCGGAAAATTCCGTTTAACCCCAAATCAGTTTAGAATGTACTAATAATATCTACTTCTTTTTTAGTCCTAGATGCTTTGTGCAATTTAGCTATGAATTTTCTCATTATATTGCGAAAGGTTTTGTTTTCGGTTTCAGTTGTACTAGTAAATAAACATGACACGGTACGCTCAGAAGTGAACTTACTTGCGGTTAGATGCAGCTTGCGATCCATCTTGGAGACTGAATTCCAGAGATCGAAAACCATCGAAAACGGCCAGCGCTCTTGAGGATGGGGAACCTTGCGGAGGTAGTAATACATTCGAATCCATTGAGCGACGCATCGCACGCAAACGTAGGCCGCCGCGATAACAACGGCACACGCAAGGAGCAGCGCACCAGAGGAAGACAACGACTGCCTGAAGAGTTTGTCCAGCACTATGGCCGACATTGTCCTTGCAGTGTCCGATTATGCTTGAACTGTTCGCTGCGAAATCACTGCTAGTAGAAGAAAAATAGAGTTCCGCCACCAGAAACGCAGTGAAGCCAAGCCTTACTGATTTTTAGTGTAAAACTCACATTTACGGGCACGAGCGAAGGAAATGAATGCTTCACCGCTCTGACGGCCACGCCGATTGTATATCGGCAGTTTTGTAAAAAACAAGCCGGAAGCCGGCTGAAGCCTTGGGGGATCCGGGGGAAGCGACGGAAGCGCTAGCGAGAACTATACCTACGCGACCAAGGCCCAGCTTAATACCTTGAGGGGAAAGGGCAGATTCACCTCTCACTCTATGATCGAATGTGCGTGTTTAATTTGGTTTGGTTGACTGGACGGCTGGTTTTCCTGGTTAGTTTCATGCGTCATTTTATCCTTTTCCCCCGATCTACAAAGGGCGTGGGATTGTATTCTTTCTCTTTTTCAGGTTTCGACAGCTGTCTGCGTCTGCGATTCCACTCTCACTTTGTCTGTCGAAGTTTATAAAAGAGAAAGGTTTAGCATGCGCGTGTGTGTCTGTAAGAATGTGTGCGCTCGTGTCTACCTTGGCCGCACGTGCCTGTGTTAGCCTGACCTCTGGGCTAACGTATCCGCGCGCGCCAGCGTACATCACTCTGCGACCTTAAGTACGCTTCGCACGTTCAGCCCGCTCATCTACATACTCACATGCCTGATGGATATCGGTTACCAAACGGTCTACGCTCTTAAAGTTAAACTGTTTTTTCCATCCATGTCGGAACTTTTCTGATCAAAATAAAGAAACTATTACACTCCCGGATTATTGTAAATTGCGAACAGTTGCAGATCAGCGTTACGTTAAAACATCACGATTATATAAATCGCTTACGAAAATTCAATCCTCGCTTCTAATTACAGCCAATGTTCGAACACTACGTCCAGTCCATTTATGATTTTAAACTCGCGCTTATCATTCTAATCATCACAATCTAAACGATTGCGCAAGCATTGTCATTTGAGTGAAACTGAACCACGTAAGGGTTCTTATGCATGCTGAGATATTCTAAATTTGTTGAAGGGTTAGTCATTCGAAGTGGAAGATTTCACCAAAGTTTCGCGCACCCTTGGGCCGTCATGCAGAAGAAAAAAGAATTGAAATTGACGCTATAAAAAGGCCATACATCCAATGTCTCGTCTCTCTCAGAGCAGACGCTCACTCGCATATGCAGAAACTCGCTGCTGGTTGAAAATGTAGTCACTGACGACTTAATGAACGAAGGGTGTGGCTTACTGCTTTCACGTTTCTCGCATAGTGTCAGTATTGGCTGATACCGCAATCTCTTCGGTTGTGGAGCGTTAATGACATGATTGGGACTCGCCATCATCCTGCGTTTTCTATCCTGTCGTTTACAATAGTGACAGTGATGATATGTGCACGTGTGAGTGTTGGGACTGATGTTTTCTGGTACAAGTAAACTGAGGTGAAGCGCCAGTTAGATGTGCGTGTTAACCATGTTGGGTATGTAAATTGCTTTTGAGGCATATAACCTACGAAATTTTCTTTTTTTTTGTTTTGTTATTAAGGTGCACAATCTAACTGGCATTTAATTTAAACAAATTTTACCTTGAAGCCCTACTTAAAACGTGGGTCATGACGTTGCTTGCTTTCAAAACAAACGATTAAGACGGGCATAAAAATGTGGTGAATTACTAATTTGTTCCATTACGCGAGCGATTATTTCTGATATCCACAGTTACTTAGCCATTCATTGGCCGTAGGTTTATCTTTGTGAACTATATTGTAAAGGTTTGGTCTGCTGGGCAAGTTGGTACTGGACTTTCACATTAAATTAGCGCACAAAAGACGGAACAAAACGACGAAGCACACAGGACAAGCGCTAACTGGCAACTAAAATTTATTGAATGCTTCCAACTTTGCTATCGCCGCATAAGCGCCGCATAGGCGCTTATGTGGCGATTGCATAAGCGTCGCACCGGTGTATTTGCAGCCGAAAGAGTACAGCTTCATTCACACTATTTAACATGTAAATATTAACGCGGCGCTTTTCCTTTCCTCGTTCGGATTGTGCGGTGGGGTGATGTAGCTGCTTTGCTGGCTTTTTGAACAGGAGGTGGGCGGGCTGTATCTGCTGATTTGGCGGTACGCCGTGTTTTTGTTGAGACGAGGCTAAGCGCGTGCACGGCGATAGCAAAGTTGGAAGTATTCAATACATTTTAGGTGCCAGTTAGCGCTTGTCCTGTGTGCCTCTTCGTCTTTTTATCCCGTCTCTTTTGTGTTATTTTTAATATGAACTTTGTGAAATAGTTTTTTGGCTAATGATATACTTAAATTTCTTAGTGACGCCCTCCATTTCTTAAGCTCTCAGTGAAAAAAGGGGGTATACGAGAAAAACAAAATTGCGGACAACATTTTATGCTTTAAATCAAAAAAGGTGTCCGAGTTCGACTCATCCCCTAAAAAAATCATCAAGGCGAAAAATACAACTATCCCAGCTAATGACAAAACTCGAATGATTAGAAAAAAGAAATTAAAAAGAAAAACGCAATGTTCGCAGGGAAATCCAGCATCATATTTTGCTCGATCACTATACCTGTGCACATCGCATTGTTTCAGATCTAATCGTATTATGAGCGTCGGCATTTGCTGGGATCCTTCTCTTGTTCGCTGTATAATGCTTCATTTTTTTCTGTTTTGGCGGAAGGCGAATTTACAGACCTTATTATTATTTTATTTTCGGTCTGGACAAAAAAAAACTGTAACCAGGCCGAAACACAGAGCATTGATTGGACATCGAGGGTTGCATCAGCATTCAGTTCGGCGAAGTTCCGTAATCACCATGTCGGCCGAAATTACGCAATCATTGTAAGCAAATCATTCTTCTTTTTTGCTGAGGAAGGAAGCGCATTCTCTATAGACTATAGTCGTTGGAAGCTTATGAGAAACGCAGATCGTGACTTATCATATGAGGCTTCTTGCTCATCGGTTGTTTTTCAGGGTCTTATCGACAGATGAGGCAATCCCATTGGTTACGGAGCGGGTATTAGATACTTGAAACCCCCTACGCCGTACGCGTTTCTTAAATTGTGAGTGATTCTAGCCAATAATCATTCATTCGGGAATCTGAGTTGATTATATCAAAAGCATCTTTATTTGTTTTCCTTTCCTCGCAGACACCTCTGGTAGGGTTTCGAATGCTATTTTATTTCTTCGTGGCTGACCTACGTGGGCCTATGATGATCTATCTAAATGATTGTGGGTTATTTTTGGGGTTTTAGCTGGTGCAGAGGTGACAAACGATCATTATTGATATACCCTGTTGCAGGTTAAGAAAAGCTGGACAAGCTCCTCCCGTGAATCCCTCCGCCCTTTCCTCTTAGCAGATCGAACGTCGGAGAAGAGACGAGACGAGGCGAGGAGGGACTCGCGTCCTCTTCGGTGTTCCTTCTGCTAAGTGGAGAGGGGGAAGGGCTTTGCAGAGGGATCCTGTCCTGCCTTTCTTAGCCTGCAACACGCTATAGTAGCAGATATGTCGGCGGTCGAAGGCGCTTACCAGTTGGTGCTAATATAAACGCCATAAAGAGTTCTACCACGGCGTTCGTAAGTGCTCGAGAATTTAACAGAAAAAACTATGCTTGTCTTTTGTTTTCTGTTTGTAGACTCTTCTAGATAAATCTTTCTCTATAATGAGAATTGGTACGAACCGTTAATTGTTGCCGTGAGATTATTACATTTATCGTGCTAAACCTCAACAGGTGATGCCTTTTACCATTCCGTATTCTCCCTCGCAATTATGCGGAATTTATTGGTAACCCTCTTGTTAAAGTAAAGCTCGGGAGCGCTCAAAGCACATCCGCTTGCCATTTAGAGCATGTGAATTCGCAGCCGAGCATCATAGCCCGAGAAAAAGTGTTTTCGCTGCTTAGAAAGAAGGGCTCTAGCTTTATCTTTCTGTTTCCTCTCAAATTAGAAGGGTCCCTTTCGGTATCGCTTTTATAGCCATTTTAAGTCTTCATTCGTGCTGAATAGATTTCACAAAACAGGTTCTTGAGAGCATTTTATCTACTAAATTACGATGAGGCAATCTTTGTGCTCCACGAGAAAAACTATTAAGGTTCCGCCTGTAAGCTTTAATTGACGGAATAATGTATGCTTATTGCGAGAACTCATATTTCACAAAATGGAATAGACAGACCCCGGTATCACGTCAGGGAAACGCATATTTTATTTATATATTTATTTTATAATACTATCAGTCCCACTGCTGGGACTACGATAGGAGTGAGTACGAAAAAAACAATGGACAATGTAATAGACATGCAGAATATGATGACACAAATGAACGACTATACGACACCTAATACTCGTACTAAATAGCACAAAAGTAAACCAAGAATAAAAATATGTGATATATTGCTTACATGGGTGTCACTTTACCAAAACCTTATCCATTTAAAGTTTAACAACGCTTTCAGGCAGTCTATTCCACTCCCTTATCGTCCGAAAGAAATACGAATTTTCGAATCATTCTTCGTTGAATCTGTAGTCTTCGATTGTCCTAGTATGTTTATTACGTGTGATTCTAGATAGATGGGGTTTGATGCAAATACTAGGGGACTTCCTTGGGCCTAATAAGGATTTTGCACCAAGGCGTCAGTTAGTGCCAGAGTAATTTGTTTTGTGTGTATGGCTTCGCTATGGCTCTCTCACTCTCTATCTCCCTTTCTCTGCACCGAATTCAACTTGTTCGGCAGTATAACGTCAATGTTTCCATATTAAAACCGAAGAACAAGAAGTAAAGCCCAACTCTCTCACTTGATTGGCGACTTAGGCCCAAAGGTGCTAGATGACAGCCAGGCGATCAGCTGTTTAAGCTTAACTTTAGCACTTGTTTGGCGGATGAGGGCCAATTGGTACTCAAACGCTTGCCATGAAAGGTCAAGTTTGGCTAAAACTTGGTTTCTTCTGTCTTTTGGAGTCCCTAAATTTTGAGACAAAGACCAAATTTCGGCCCAAAGAACTGAGCATCCTGATGAATGCTTAACATTCAGTTTCAACAGTTAATCGTAAATTTTATTTAGATTT